TAATATTTTGTATTTCTTTTTGTCAATTTTACATTTGATCTATATTAATATATACATTTATTGTAATAGCTACTGTATCAAAAGTCAACAACGACACACACAGATTGTATTCAATATGTTTTCCCTCTCCCCGTACTTCTGCTAGATGTGGCCTAAGGCACAGCTAAAGTTACACACAAGCAAACAGAAAATTTGTTACTCTAACTGTAATAAGACAAAAGATGAAAAGTGCAACAAAATATATATACAATATTTCCATACGAATATATCTATCTATATACATACATATACAGTATGAGCGGCCTGCAAATCAGATTCGACTCTTATCTGCTCTTTATTAATAATTGACTTGCAGTTTGTATAAATAATATTGGTAGTATTCCTTATAGTATCTATTAGCTATTTAGTATTTGTCAGATACTTTCATCGCATATTCGAAAGGCATGTATATGGTATCTATATATATTTAACATCTATAGAATATAATAAGATATATATAGGCACATTCGAAATCGCAAAATATGTTCTTCAAGCCAGAATTCTATCTAGATTGTATTTAGTACCAACTTATAAACTTCTTCCGAATTCATAAGTTTCATAGAAAAGCAGAACTAAGAATATTCTAGATATATACAGAACAGAATATATAGACGGGTTTATTTGAAACGAACTATCCTGAGTTTAGATAGAAACTTATCGAAATCTTGTCGTAAAGCAGTTCTGCTGTTAACAATCAATCGTTAGTAATTGTATATTTACAAGTCTTTCAATGATTCTATATCCATCGAATGCATACATATGTATGTATATATATAAAAACTGAAATTTTCATGGCCATAGCTAACCGAAGCTCTGGCTGCTTTTGACTGTACAAGATTTATTGAGCATTGCTTAATGGCTAAGTTTTCGTTGGACATGTTCTCATTATCAATTCATCAATCAATCGCATCATTATCATAATTACTATAGTGTGGTGTATGGTGTATGGAGTATGGAGTATGGAGTATGGTGTGTGTGCCCTGCCGTAAACCCCGCCATGCCGCGACGTGCCGTGCCGTGCACCAATTAAATTCATAAGGCCGCAAATACAATAAAATATCTTAAAAAAGATGCTGCCGCTGCTGCTGCTGCAATTGGAGCTCTACTGATTCTTCTGCTGCTGCTTGCGCTTCAGTTTGTCGATAAGCGTCTCTATGCTGTTGGCGTCCACCAGGCCAATGAACTTGTCCACAACGACGCCGTTGCGGAAGGCTAGAACCGCTGGCACGGCCTTCACCTCGAACGTTTCCACCAAATCCAAATTGGCCTCTACATCGATAATGGCCAAATCAATTTCATTCGAGTTCTCCAACAGCTCCAACATTTTGGGTGTCAGTATTTTGCATGGGTCGCACCATTCCGCATGGAAATTCACTATCACCGGATTGTCGCTGTTGATGACCTGCGAACAGATAAAAAGAAAACAAAGTTTAGATTAAAAAAAAAGAAGGAAAAAACAACAACAAAAACAAAGCTTTCACATTTTATGTATTTATGTATTTTGGCTAGTCAATTCGAGTGGTTCTACCTTATTTGCATACACGAGCATACGTACAAGCCAAGCAAATTGCTGTGCGAGAGTCGACTAGCAAATGCCCTGTATAACATGACTATATATAATATACCAAATTTAAGTAATTTTCCGACGTGGTACTTCTTTCGCCTAATAAATAAAATACCATTTTGGGATATTTGTCGGCGATGTGGCAACTGCTTAGTGAATTTGTGAAAGTGTATCATTTTTGGTACATTTGTGGGCGATGTGTGAACGAGTCAACACTGTTGCCAGCAATTTGTTTACAGGGTATCATATTGTATACGGCGCGCACAAATAGCCAAAATGCGTCATGGGTTACGGCCGGGACCGCTCACGTACGCCAAATAGGCAACAACCAGTCAAATAGAGCATTGCATAATGCTACAGCAACACTTGCATCCATATGCTTGTGTATGTGCATATGTGTGCGTGTGTGTGTGCAAGTGTATACAAATGTAAATAGAGGCAGTTGGTTGCTGTGGCTCACCTTTTGATCAAACTCGTAATGATCTTTTATCACCAGCTTTTTGAAGTGCATCTGCGATTGTGAGAGGTATTTCTGTGTGGCTTTGGCCGCCTGCGGCGCTATCCGTTGACAGCTACTCTGGGCACTGCTATTGATAAGACAACAGGCCGCCAGGCGTGGCGCAATTCCCTCCGCTGCGATTTTTAGCATTGTTGTTATTATTGTTGTATTGCAATGTGTGTATGTTGCAAAGGAGGTGCTAATGGCGTGCTTTCTCTTCTATGGACTTGAGTAATAGTCCTGGTCCGAGATTTTCAAGATGCAGCGATAAGATAAATAAATGGACAATTATTCACCACTGTTTTTCTTTATGTCTGCAGGCGGTGGAGCGGGTGGCTATTGGACTGTCTGGCAGGGCTATTTGCATTACGAGTGCTGCCAGATGGCTTAACTATACTCTTTTAATACACATGGCAGCGCTGCATTTTTCAAAATGAAAACTAATCAAATCAAATCAGCAAATATTTTAACAATACAAAAATTACTACATATAAATACATTGAAAATAGTCAATTACTATGAAAATTAAATTTATGACACTAATAATTCGTGGATTTCTTTTGGGAAACCGACTGGTTGGTGTGGCTTGAAAGAAATGTGGCCACCCCAAATTTGTGCATTTACAGCACTTGTCTGCATCATTTAAATTTCAACATTTACCTTTATGTTTGCTCAGATAGCATACCTATATAATAAAAAAAAAATATAAACATAAGTATGCGTGCTTATTAATTTTAATTAGCATCGACAAAGCAACTAGGGCCAGATGGAATGTACATTGGTACGTTTTGATGGGCGTCATAAGAATTAGTAACGGTAAATGTTTGTGTTTAATTAGGCTCGCATAGACGTTGACTTTTTGATATTATCTGTCAGGTGATGGACGTTTTATCTGACTTTTGGGGTAGTTCGCTTGGAGCTGTCGCCAAAGCAAGTTGGACAGAATATGAACGAGAGCAAGATCTACGCCAGCTACGTGGAAAGCAAACTGATTGGCGTCCAAGCGGAGGACGTCAATCAATATGTGGTCCGTGCACTGAAGCACGTCATACAGGATGTGTTCGCACAGCTCAGTGCGACGCTGATAATAACACTGGCCACCAGTGATGCAAAGATGGACAAGTGGTTCGGGAATGTGGTGGGCAATCTGGCCAGCACTTGGAGCTCAGTCTCCGTGCAAATGCTACATGTGAATCACTTGCCTCATGTGCCAGGGCGCAAGTATTGCAATCTACTACTGGTAGACTCCTATAAGGCGTTGCTGTGAGGGACTGTAGTAGCAGTGCCCATCGGATCTATAATTACGTATATCTTAATCCCTTCCAGCTCCACGCAGATCACCGAGGATAACGCGGATAGCGATGATCACGAATACTACTTCATCTTTTTGCAGGCGCGCGATGCGCAGATTCCGGCGGAGCTGCAGCAAATCCTGGACCATTGCCTGAACAACTTTTGGCTGCACTGCAATGTGATGGTGCAGACGGCCCAGATGGAGGTGCTCATCTATAGCTATTATCCGTATACGTCGCAACGTTGCCAATCCGCACAGCCGCAGCTGGTGAATCGTTTCGATGGCCAGCGCATGATCCATGCGCCCATGTTTCCGCACAAGCTGCGCCAGCTGCATCAGTGTCCGCTCACTGTGGTCGTCTGGAACGCGCCGCCCTTTGTCGAACTCAAATGGGACGATCGGGCGGGGCAGATGGACGCCATTGGCTTCGAGGCTACGCTGATCAAGCAGCTGGCACGACATCTCAATTGCAGTTTGATCTGGCACAATGTGACGCTCGAGACGGTGGCCACCTACCAGAAGAACTGGGGCGATGAACGTCAACCGATGAGTCCACTAAAGCTGGTGCGTAGGAAGATTAGTTACTAATTAGCTTCATTAACTCTCCCCTCTTTCTTTATCTCCCTCTCTCTGTCTTAGTTAATAGAGCGACATGCCAACCTGAGCGTGGGTAACTTTCGGAAGACAGCTGGCCGCAATAACATGCTCACCTCGCCCGTGGCTCACTATTATGCTCCGCTCGTGGCCACTGTGGCTATCAAGCATTTTCAGTTTGGCCAACTCACCTTGCTGTATTTTCCATTTCAGAGCTGCGTTTGGCTGTTGCTGCTGGTGGCTCTGATTCTGCATGGCCTGATCTATATGTGGCGCTGGCGTCCCATTGGGCTGCAGGTGCTGGAGCTGCTGCTGGGTGTTACGTTGGTGCGCTTGCCACGCTCCTGGCTGCAGCGTGTCATCTATGCCCACTGGCTCTATGGTAGCATCCCATTGCGTGTGGTCTACCAATCCCTGCTATTCCATTTCATACGCCTGCAGCTGTTCGAGACGCTGCCGTATTCGTTTGAGCAGCTCTTGGCTAGCAACTTCCGTGGCATGTGCACTTCGAACATTTTAAGCATGCTGCGCGAGATGCCACAGGTGGCGCACAATTACGAAAGCTACATTAGCATTCCATCGCCCTACGATGAAGTAGTGCTGGATGCACTGCACCAAATGGGCGATGGTCGGTATTTTGCCATCACCGGCCTGGACACGGCCGTTGCCCATTTGACGGCAACGAATCGTCAAAGAAGCTACCACATTCTTTCCCAGTACATCAATCTGCAGCAGGTGGTCATCTATATGCCCAAGCACACGTATTTCAAGGAACTGTTCAATGACATGTTGCGCAACCTCGATGCCAGTGGCTGCATTGACTTTTGGCGCCGAGACGCCTTCGCCAAATACAGCCGCCGGACCCTGCAGCAGCGCAGTCTGTCCCAGCTGCAGGACGATCAGCAAGAACACCGACAGAACGAACAGTTGCGCCAGCTAATCGGTATATACAGCCTGATGGGTACCCTCTACGCTCTCTCCATATTGGTCTTTTGCGCTGAACTCCTTTGCCATCGGCTGACCAAGCGAAAGATGGAGCGACGTTTGCTTTAAGGCACACAATTCTATATAATTAGATTTGTTTACTTTTTTCATTAAATTTAAATTAAATTTCACGATCTGGCAGCACTCAAGCTGAACTAAATGCCAAGCAGGAGGCTTGAATGAATGCAAAATGTACTAAATGTGCTGAAATTTCTTAATTTAAGACAATCATTGATAAACTACCGTTTCCTTACCTCCACATACCTCCATTTTCATCAACAAACATCACAAATATCATAAATTGAATAAATCCGGCCACTTTTTGGCTGTCAGTATTTTTTCAATGTTAGTACTGTAGATTAAATTTCTGAAGCTTTGGCAGCACTAAAACCGTTGGAGCGTTGAGCTGACTGCGCGTGGACTACAAATGCAATTTTCGAAAGAGCAGACTAACTGTTAAGTGAACTAAATTGAATGCAATGTACAGAACAAAGACAAACAAAAAGGAAAAATGAAGGGAAAACAAAACAATAACCAAGTATAAACAATTTGAACAGCAACTTTTTCAATGCAGTGTTCATCAATCACAAACCAGCTCAATTAATGTGAAAAGACAAACAAAACTTTGGTCAAAGCTTTTCTGCCTCAGCAGCGGGCTCAACGCCATTGCTAGAACCAGTTGACCTTCAGAATCGGCACGGAAATGAACATATCACAGCTGTTTCACTCGTATCAGGACTTGTCCGGGCAGCAGATGAACCAAATCAATGAGTATGTGGCGCGAGCCCTGCTGCACGTGGTCCACATCCACATTATGAGCGTGACGCCGTCGCTGGTGCTGACCCTCTGCTGCCGCAACAATCACACGTGCAACTTCTACACCGAGATGATGACCGTACTCTTTCGAGACTGGGGCATAGCCCCGCTCCAGATAGTCACTGTGGAGCAGGGCATGCTGCGAAAATTCGTTCCGGGTCGCCGGCACTACAATCTCATCTTCACGGACTCCTATGCGGCCTTTGCGGAGATCGAGGTGGAGGCCCATTCCAAGGAGTACAACTACAACGAATACTATTACATCTTTCTGCAAGCACGCGATCGTCTGCTGCTGAGCGAGATGCATCGCATCTTCGAGCATTGCTGGCGCCACCAGCTCATCAATTGCAACGTCCAGGTGCAGCGCGCCAATGGCGACATCCTGCTTTACACGTACCTGCCATTCGGACCCGAGAGTTGTGCAGATACGACGCCCAAGTTGATTAATCGCTACAACGGCAGCCACATGCTAAATCCGCAGCTCTTTCCCCGCAAGCTGAACAATTTCTTCGGATGTCCACTGCGCGCAGGTCTGTTGCATTTACCGCCGTACATCTAGCTAGACGGATCTGGACCGGATGTGCGCATTACTGGCGGCATTGAAGGTCGTCTCTTGCTGACGTTTATTGAAAGATTCAATATAAGCATCCAAGTGCAACAGTGGAACAGCACAAGTGGAACGGGACTCCAGATCAACCGCTTGCTCCAGATGGTGAATTTGCATATTGCTAGCTAGCCTTCCTTTCCAGTCTAATTATCTTTCTTATTCTAGCTGCACAGTAACCAAGCGGATTTATGCGTCGGTGGCATCCGCCAGACGGTGGAGCGCAGCACATTGGGGACATCGACGCACAACTATCTGCAGACAAGCGTCCGCTTTGGCGTCTTGGGCACCAGCTACGAGCTGACCTCGCTGGACATTCTATTCTTTCCATTTCGGACATCAATTTGGCTGGCGATTGGCGTTGTTTTCGCCCTTTCGTTCCTGATGCAGCTGACAATGGATCGACTATTACCGCTCAGGCATCAGGGCTGCCTTGTGCTCAATGTGCTCCTGGTCTTCGTGGGCATGCCTATGGCAGCTTTTCCGCGCTCGATCGCGAAACGAGTGCACTGCATCATGTTAATTCTCTACACGTTGCTCATACGCACCATGTACCAGGGCATGCTTTACCATTTGATACGCACCCGCATGCTGAACCGGCTGCCCCAGTCCCTCGATGAGGTCGTGGCTCACAACTATGAAGTTGTGCTATCGAGTGGAATCAGTGATGTGCTCGCTGAAATACCCGCCATACAGCAGATGCGATTCCATGTGGCCGACGGCGACGGATCCCTAATGCATCCTCTGTATTACTTGGCGCACAATCCGCGGGGTCAGAGGCAGGTGGTAGCCGCTACGCTGGAGACCTTTCTGTTGTACAATCAGTTGAGTGTCAAAACCGGAATGGAACAAGGGATACATCAGTTCGAGATCATGAGTCAGGATGTGATATATATGCAGATGACGATGTACCTAAGGAAACATTCATTTCTAATCGACGCCTTCAACGAGCACATTATGTGGATGCGCTCCGGGGGACTGCTGGCAGTCTGGGAGCGCTGGGAGCTGGACGAAGTCTATTTGCGAGACGTGCGTACGACCACCTATAGAATATTCGGAATCCACGAGCTCTATATCATATTTGTGCTAATGCTAATTGGATTAATGCTTAGCACGCTTCTTTTTTGCCTAGAGCGGATCTCATTACGCTTCCCACGATTTCAGCGTTGGTTCCTAACAGAATAAAAGCTTTGTATTTAGCATAGTTAGCGCTGAGTATTTATGAAAATGTCTAAGCTGGTCACACTGAGCAGCAGCCGTTAGTAAACGCCTTTGGCCATTGTTGTTGCACAAGTAAAAATTTGTATTATTTTTAAAAATATTATAAAATATAAACAATATGTAGATGAGACATCTGGGCACACTTGGTGCTTTTGAAGATAACATTTAATTTAAATTGAACAGTTAAAAGTAAAATATTTACGAACGAAAAGGTTTTGTTTTAAAAAGTTCCCATAATGAACGGTTCATCTACTTCCTGTTTGCGGAAGTAGCGCTTCAGCTTTTTCATCACAACGCCCGATTCACCACAATATTTCATTAGAATGCATTCAACAGTAGTTAGTTTGTCCTTCAATAGAGCGATCTGGCGGCGTGTATTCCAAACACGATCATCATCATCATCGTCGGAGTCCGAATCCGGTGGCAACTCGGCAAGACGGCATTCATCCAAATCAGTTATAACCGGTGAAGAGGTGGCCAATGGGCGGCCTAGCTTTGGTTTTTTACCAAGCCTACCTGCAGCTTCATTAACTGGCAAGGACAGCAACGATCCCGATTTTGGTAAATTATGCTGTAAAAAAAGGTTTGGAACCACCGAAGAAGTCTTGATAGGTTTAGGCTTAGTTGCTGCTGGTTTCTTGGTCGCTTTAGAAGCTAATGGGGCCGAAGAGCGAGCCGCTCCCTGTTCGGAGAATGATTGTATGACTTGTTTGGCAATAGCCACGTTTGGAGTATAATTAGCATATACCGATGCATCTGCATTGTAGGCCAGTATCTCGACTGAACCAAACCTCACCTTGAGTGGCGCATGCTTCTTCTTCTGAGCTTGAATCATACCTCTTGCCTTTAAATTAGTAAATGGCTTGCGCGGTAGAGAAGCGGTAGCTGGTGGTCCATCCGGTGGCACACCAGAGGACTCAGTATTCGGAGCGATTGGCTCATTTGCTACAAGCTCAGAAGTGTTATTTTTTACATTTTGTGGAAGTGACACGGAGTCTGACTCAGTCTGTTGAGTCAATGCTTGTGATGTTGATGGCTCAGCTGGTGGTCCAGCTGCCTCTACTATAGACGAAAGATTTGAATGTTCCGGAGATTTTAAAGAAGTCACGTTGCCTAGTAGCCGAATGGGTTCACAAGCTGCTAGCACCTTTTCAGAAACCAGTTCCTCAGCCGCGCCCATGATACGTTTAAAATTTAGGCGGCGTTGGGTTGGTTTCCTAGTGCTAGCAGCCGGCGATGCATTCTCCTTGCGCTGAATGCGTTTAAAATAAATACGTTTTGCTGGGGTCATACCAAGTGGATCGGGTGTTCCCTTAACTGGTTCCATTCTCAATAGAGTTGGGTCCCGCCTCAACTGAAGTGACGGCAGCTCGATTTTGATTATGTCTCCTTTTACATCAATTGGCTCCGGTTCGACTTGAACGGGTGGTTCCGGGTTCACTTTAGCTGTTTCCTGCTCAGTTTTAGGCAATTTCGATTCCGGCTCAGCAGACTCCGGCTTAGCTGGCTCTGCCTCAGGTGATTCCGCCTTAGCTGGCTCTGCCTCAGCTGGCACCGCCTCAGCTGGCTCCTGCTCAGCTGGCTCCTGCTCAGCTGGTTCCGACTCAGCTAGCTCCGAATCAGCTGGCTCCCACTTTGGTTCATTGGGTTGCGAATTGTTCTGACCAGATTTCATTTTCTTTTGCACGGTTCCCACTTTCTTTAGAAATGTTTCCGATTTCTTTTGAGCTGGCTCCCATTTCTTTTGAGATAGAAGAGTACGACTTTGCTTCGGCTTCGGTAGAGCTCGGTCCATTTTTAATTGAGACAATTCCTTCTGTTGTGTGGCTTTGCCAGCCTGTTGCCACGGTTTCGGATGAATAACGGTAAGGGACCTCTCCAATCGTTTACCGCCTGGTGAAGCTGGCTTGGACACATCTGCCAAAGCTGTATTCGCGCGAGTTGGCGGCTTCGGATTTGCTCGAGCTTGATCCGACTTAGCTTGAGCCGTTTCCTTGATCTGTTGAGTGGCTTTGCCAGCCTGTTGCCACGGCTTAGGATGAATCACGGTAAGGGACCTCTCCAATTTTGGCCTTCCAGGCGGCCTGGCTCCACCTGGTACGGCTGGTTTTCTCACGGCTGGCCTGGAGGCACTTCTCTTCTGGGTAGGTTTTTTATTGGGCTTGGCCTTAAGCTGATCCGGATCAGCATTGTCTTCAGTTCCGTCACTGTTCTTGTCGTCCATGCCAACTAGGCTATTCGAACGATGAGCCACCTCCCCCTTGCCGCCATTTTGAGACACAATTGTAGTGCTACGTCGCAGATAGGCTGTGTAATTGACTGTGGGCTTCGTATTTAAAATTTTCTTCAATCCAATCGGCTGGCCTTTGCGCTCAGCTACCGCATCGTACGAATCACTCTTGCAGTTCACCCTGTGGAACTTGTGTAGCCAGGTCACGAACTCATAGTGGCCGATTCCCTTGGCCAGGTCGCGATGATAAATATTCTTATGAATATTCAGTTTTTCAAGTGCATTACGAAACATGTTATAGTTCGATTCGATCTCGTGACTGACATTGGTATTCAAGAAAACTCTGTCCATCGGCATTGCCTTGGGAGCTACTTTGTGCATAATTTGGCAATAAATATCGCCTGCTGTCAATTCGGACAGCTCTTTAATCTCGCATTGCAATTGCTTGTTGACCCAAATGATTAGTTCGCGCACCGAGCACGTGTCCTTCTTCAAAACTAGCACATTCCTAACATATCTGTTTGGTCCCTCAGTAAATTCCTCCATTGTACTTGGTTATCAAATAAAGAAATCAATTCGAATTAATGTAAGAAGAAACTCTTTATGTTAGTTTCAAAAGGTGAAGGCCACGTTAATTACCTTGATTTCAAGTAATCGGCTGATAGTCCAGATGCTCAATTGGAAACTAAACAGAAAATCTGAAAAATAAAACCATTTGGTTAAGATGGCATTCAATCTGACATGTTTTAATTAACAATGAAGCACTTCTTGATTTCTTGACCTATTTACCATTAGTTATTAGAGGTTGAGCTCCAATTCGGAAAGACTTATAAAAACAAAAACTGAATGGTAAATCGTCCCTTCGTTTTGGAAGAGACTTTCAGAAATTCAAAATACAAATTATTTTAGAGAAATAGTTTCCGAGTAAAAATGTATATAAAAATATATGTCCTTACGGACTGGAGTATCTCAACCTACTGAATATGGAAAGGAATGAGAACTAGCAATAAATAAACTTGATTGAGTGAATTTGAATGGTGCACTTGGATTCTACGCGATTCGATAGATCAATGTTGATGTATAACCTAAATCAATGTATATATACCCTAAGTTCTGTGCTATTTTTCCTCTTAATCAGCTCGTGTCTTTAATGTAGTAAAAATGTTGCAGTTGAGAGTTACCGACTGCAGAATACTCATTCATACAAATGCATGGATGTTTCGTCAAAGTCTTAACAGTATCAGATGGGCTTATACACAAATACATATACGAAATATAAATTCTTGAGTTTCAATAGCGACGAATATGGCGGACAGCAAGACGGATCTTGCCCAAAACCAATTTACTAAATTCACTTTTATCTTTAATTTAATCTTAGATTAGGAAGCAAACTCAACGAACTGAGGCGTTCGCGTTAAGCAGCACTTGTTTACTTTCATATTTACCATTAGTTATTTTTAAGGCTGAGCTCCAATCCAGAAAATGTATTGCCAAATATTCTTATATGAAAACAATAATGATAAACTTTATGGCGAATTGTATGCCCGATTTGGAAGAGACTTTTTCAGAAATAAAAAATAATGATTTTTGGGAAATAAAAAATTTATATAAAAATATATGTCCTTACGGACTGGAGTCTCTAAACCTAATGAATATGGAATAAAAAGAGAACTCACAATAAGTAAACTTGATTGAGTGAATTTGAATGGTGTACTTCGATTCGATAGAAAATGTTACTGAGATGACGAAAATCCAGCGAACATGTAGTCAATGTATATAATCTAAGCTCTGCACCGTCTTTCCTCAACCTATTCCTTAGCTTAATGAGATCGATTACTAGGTTTACTGGATATAGCGCGTAAACTAAGGTCTTAGTGGATCCGCACAGGGGCGCTTAAAACGAATTTCAGTCAAATAATATAATATATAATTTTTGGGTTGGTCAATAGAGCAGCTAATAAGATTTCCGACATATCGGAAGATACGTTATACGATTCGCCACACCCCTAGTGGACGTTTTATTGAAACCTTAACGTTTTATACGACGGGCTTATAAATAAAATTCACTTATAAACGAAATTGAAATTCTTCAGCTTATATAGCGGCTTTTTGGCTTACATTCATACGGACGGACACTGCAAACTCTCTTTCTGCAATTCACTCTTGTCTTTAATCAACACACACCCAACAAACGGAGTAAAATAATCACGTTTGCTGATTTCAATATTTACCATTAATTATTGTTGAGGTTGGGCTCCAATTCAGAAAACTATATTGCCGAATATTCGAACTTAAAAACAAGATTAGAAATCAATGCAAAAACTGAATGGCAAATTGGATGCCAGTTTTTGAAGAGACTTTTTTTAGAAATTGAAAATAAAAAATATTTCGAAGTAAACATTTATAAAAAATATATGTCCTTACGGACTGAAGCCTCTCAACCTACTGAATATAGAAGAGAATGAGAACTAACAATAAGTAAACTAATTTGAGTGAATTTGTATGGTGTACTTCGATGCGATAGAAAATGTTACAGAGATGATGAAACCCCTGCGAACAAGCAGAAAATGTATATAACCCTAATCCTGCACTATCTTTCCTTTTAAACAGATATTTTGCCCCATGGAACCTATTACTAGGTATAATGGAATATATCGCGGATTCTAAAGACTCAGTTAGCCTCCACTGCGGAGTTTAATGCGAGTGAAAATGTTGCTCTTGAATATATAGGTATATAATCTTCGAGAAAATTGATAGAGATAGAGATGACATACCGGGAAATGCGCTTTCTGATTGGCCACGTTCCTTTTGGGTAATTTGTCAAAATCTAACTAGAAGGCGGGCTTATACACGAGTATATAAATCCTCTAGGTTCCATAGCGACAAAAAGGGGTTTACATTCATACGGACGGAATGACGAACAGCAAGACGGATATTGCACAAAAACAATTTAGTTAATCCACTTTTGTCTTTAATACTAGCTTAAGCCTGAAAGCGGACTCAGCGCACAGAATCGTTCACGTTTTTTAACACTAGATAATTTTCATATTTACCATTTGTTATTCGTCCAGAAATTGTATTGCCAAATTTATGAAAACGAGATTAGAAAAGAATAACAAAATTTTTGGAAGAGACTTTTTTCAGAAATACAAAATAACAATGATTTTAGAGAAATAGTTTCCGAGTAAAAATTTATATAAAAATATATGTCCTTACGGACTAAAGTCTCTTAACCTAATGAATATGGAATAAAATGAGAACTAACATCAGTAACCTTGATTGAGTGAATTTGAATGGTGTACTTCGAGTCGATTCGATTCAGTGTTGGAAATGTAACTGAGATGAAAATCTTGCGAGCAAGCAGTCAATGTATAAAACCTACATTCATACGGACGGACAGCCAGCCGTACATTGCTCAAAATCAATTTGCTCTACTTCCTTTGCCAGTAACCGAACTCAACACATATTCAATTGGACATATTGGAATCTACTTCAGAAGAATATATTACCAAATATTCAAATATTCAATTTAAAAAAAAAAAAAAAGATTGGAAGGGAAAATAAAGACCAAATGGCAAACTGCATGCCCGTTTTGGAAGAGATTTTACGAAAAAAAAAAAAATATATTTATATAAATTTGATCTCACAGAAAATGTACTTTCGAAGTGAACGTTTACGGACTCAAGTTACTTAGCGTACTGAATACGGAATGAAATGAGTACTTACGATAACCAAACTTTATTTAGCGACTTGGTATTGGTCTATGTCGATCCTTAACGAATTGAGTTTAGTGTTGAAAAATTAACGAATATCCAGAAAGCAAATAATCAATGCACACAGCTTAAATCCTTGGCATTTCTTCCTTTGATGTAGCTCTTAAGGCAAGAGTGGAACCAGGCACTTGGTTTATTGGAATATATCGCGAACCCTTAGTTGTCATGAATCAATATTAAGTTGTGGGCTTCCGATTAGAATATGGAAATACCCTGCAAAAATAAAATAAAAAAATATATATGGGAGAACTTTTCTCTAGAACAGACAGAGTCTGTATGAGGAGATTTCAGATTTGATTTCACTAGAAAACGTAATTTTCCAGCCTACTAACAATCACGAAAACATTTCATTGAACGTATGCTATATAGGGACATACAGCAAAAATTTCAAGTTCCCCGCTTTAATAGGTTCAGAGATCGACGGGGTAACGCATACGGACTCACGGACAGGCAGCGGAACAGAGCTAAAACTTATCAAGTCTGTATTGGGTCTGGCACGCCTTCTTTTGCATGTACCCTGACTTCCTATTTTCAAAAAAATATGCACTAAATGCGGAATGGGAAGTACTTACTGAGTCGATTCTCAGATCCTATGAGCGACTGACAGCAATTGACAGCTTCAATAAGATGGCGAAGATCCAGCGATCAAGCAGTCAATATATATATCTTAGATCCGGCAGATTTCTTTCTTTCAACCAGCTCCTTCGCTTAATTTTGTCTATATTGGATAACCACAACCATTAGCAAATCTACTATTGAATTTTGGTCTAGGTTATTAAAATACCCAGCGAAAAAAAAAAAATAAAAAATTATAAATAAATAAAAAAGGAAGGAAAACCTTTCCTAATTACAGACTGGGGCAGTATGAGAAAATGCTCGCAGCGATGTCAGCAAGAAAATTTTTCGCCACCTACCTTGATCCTAAATATATACATATTTGTTGAAAAACATGCCGATTCAGTTTGAAATACCCAGCCTACCCTGGGAATGAGGTATGTAGCTAGGTCGGACTGTGTAGCCAGTGGAATATGGTTTATGTAATTTGCACTGATTTTCTAATGCATTACACGTTTTAAATGAGATTTGTGTCAGCTGTTGTCAAGGGAGAACAAGTATTTGTGGCACTGGAATAAACTTTGGTGTATTATTATATTAATCGAATTGAGAAATATACAGAGAAACAAGTAAGAGCGTTGCAGTCGGGCGTAACCGACTGCGTGATACTTTGTTGCTTTGTTTATGAATTTTTCATGTGGGTGGTACAAGTGGTCATCGATTTGCCACACCACCAGGGGGCGTAGACAAATAAATTTGTCTAGTTGCTAGTTCCTAGAAGGATAATTAAGTTTCAAAATTGTGAATATATATAACTTTATAGGGTTTTCGTTTTGGATATGCCAACCCTTCAAAGAGGCGTAATAATAATTTTTTTTGGCCATCGCTAGGCATAGATTATTCGCCAATTCTTTCTGATCTCAGGCTATATATACTATCCAAATTATCAATTAATAAGATTTGCTGGAAAATGCATTTTCGGTAGGCCACGCCCTTAGTGGGCGTATCAGAAATATCTTGACACTTTATAATTCGAGGTATACCCTCGAATATATGTATAATTCAAATTTCAAATTTATGGCTTCGATAGCGTCGAAATGGTTTGCATTCCTGCGGACAGACGGACGGACAGCACGGACATTGCACAGTCTCTGGGGTGTTGGGACTGCAATCACAGTCGATACGCAATCAATATATATGGATTATTCAAAACGGATCCCATTTCAGTTATTCCTTGGAAATGGAACTGAGCGCTGTGCATTTGCTGCTGCTGCTGCTTGGGCTTAGCTTTGGCTGCCTGCCCGGACAAGATCCGGCGGATGGAGAATTGGCGAAGAATTTGATTACAGTAATGCAATTGATATTTGGACAGACCTGTGAGGCCCACGACATGAGCGTCTTCATCAGCACCAGCTACAAGAATCAACTGCCACGGAGGGAGCAGCGCATGGTGGAGCACGTGCTGACGCAGTGCCTCGGGGCCATGGTGCCGCGTGTGCTGGGCGAGCGGCTAGAGGGGTCACTGGGTCTGCGCACCCAAATGCTGATGTTCTTTGTGCAGGATGCCAGACAGTTGATCGAGGCCAGCAATCGTAGTCCGCGCATGAACATGACCCACAAATTCAAGTACCTCATCGTTATGATAGCCGGGCGAGATGACGCCTCCTGGCAGCAGGCGCAGATGAGCCAGATCTTCGCGTATTTGCTGCACCAGCGCTACAACGTGCACGTGCTCCTCCTGCTGGCCGAGCTGCGGACGGGCACAGTCGGCAGCTACACCTACTATCCGTACTCTGGTGAACGCGGCTGTGAGGATACGCAGGCGGTGCCTGTGCCGCTGCAGCAGGCGCGCCCTTACCAGATCTATCCGCCGAAGCTGCGGGATCTGCACGGCTGTCCACTGCACGTGGTCGTCTGGCAGATACGGCCGTACATGCGGCTGCATATGGAGCAGACGCGCCCCAGCGACCGAATCTCTGGCATCGATGCCGACATACTGAAGCTGCTGGCGAGCAGGCTGAACTTCAGCCTGGCCCTGGTGGCCAATGAGCCGGCGGATTTGATTGGCGGCGTCAGCTACATGAATGGCACCATGACCGGCGCCTTCCGCATGCTCCAGCAGAGGCGGGCGAATATGACGCTCGGATTTGCCGCCTGCATGCCGGCTCGCTACAAGCATCTGTCCAGCACGCTGCCCTACAGCCAGGTGGAGTACGTGCTGGTGTTGCGCACGGCTCGCCCGTACAGCGTCTATGAGATCATGCTGTTTCCGTTTGACTCGCACGTCTGGCTGCTGGTGCTTGCGCTGGCTGCACTGCGTCTGCTGTGCTGTGTGGGCGGCTGGCGTGACGTTGCGCTAATCGATCTGGCCTGGATTCTCTCGGTCTTCATGCTGCGCATGTGCTACGAGAGCTCCGTCTTTATGTTCCTGTACAATGCACCGACTCGCCCTTTGCCGGACAGCCTGGAGCAGGCGCTCGTGCAGGATTACCACTTCATTACGGATCATGCCACGTACCGCATGACCGCGTCGCTGCCTGCGCTAAGGGCACGCACACGCATCCTGCCCGGCCAGCCAGTGGACATGCTCGAGCAGCTGCAGGCTCAGCCGGAATGGCAACGAGTCGCCACCATCAGCACGGCCAGCTTTGTGGCCGACTATCTGGGCAGGCAGCGAGCGAAGCAGCACAGACTCGTTCTGGCCAGCAACAAGATCTTGGACAACATGATCTGCGTGCACTTCCCGATGGGCTCCTACTTGACCTCCAACTTCAATCACATGCTGTTCCTCATGCGCAGCACCGGCATTGGACCGCACATTGTCAATCGGCTCAAGTCGTCGCATCTGGCCACCTCCATGACCGCTCGACTGAGTCCACTGAAGCACTGCGCCAACTACGTGGCTCAGGTCAATGAGTGCATGCGTTTCATCTATGCCGCCCTCAATTGCCTCCTGTTTGCCCACTCCCTGGCGCTGGCCATCTTCGTCCTCGAGCTAGTCAGTGGACATGAACGCATGCGCTGGCTATCTAGGATTTTGGAGCGGCTGTGAGGGCATTTGACTAGATGGAATCATTGCCATAGGGAAGATGATCTAAGTGAATGTATAACAATGAATTGTTTTTAAAGCTTTAAAGTTAATGCAAATTATTAAATACCTAACTGTTTGATCTCCTACTGTCTGTCTGGGATAAAGAGGATAAAGGATTCATTGCAGCAGATATCATAAATAATATGATATGGGGGTTCGATTCAATCAATTTTTACGTGGTAATATGAATATAGTCTACATATATTTTAGATCAATAAATCACGCTTAAAGACGATTGATTGATTAGAAATACATTTACATATTTAGATAACCAGATATATGTAAATACAAATATAATATAATATAATAATAAGTAGCAAAGCAACTGTATCTAATTGATCAACAATTTTTAGCCAAGTATCAATATGTTTGAAGATGCATTATAGTTAAGCTGCAATGTTCCCTAAGTTGCAATGTAGATAGCCTATATATAGTATTGATAAGATTGAACTGTGTGAGAATATAGATTCATTGCAAGTTAATGCACTATCTAGATAAAGCACAATCATAAATAAGTTACAATTTAGATGTGTTCAACTGTAGAGAAGTTGTATGCAATGTAGTTAAGCTAAGATATAGATACGGTAAATTGTAGATAAGTTACAATATAGATATGCTTAGGGAGAGTTAATCTACGTTATATTGTAGATATGTAGATAAGTTACAATATAGATATGCTTAAGGAGAGTTAATCTATCATTTGAGTAAGCTAAATTTACAATAAAGATCATGTGCTACATACATACATCAATTACAAAGTATATAAGTTACAATGTAGTTATGTTATATGAAGCTCATGTTAAGTTGCTGAGTGGATAAGTTATAATTAAGTTAATTACAATGCACACAAATTAAAAGAGAGATAAGTCTTCTGCAGATAAGTTACAATTGGTATAAGTTACATTTTAGTTAAGACACAACACTGTTAAGTTAACATGTAGATAAGTTCATTGCAGTTGAGTGATTACATTGCAATTAAATTAATATCTAGATAAGTTACAAAGCAAATGAGAGGCAAACTTCTCTATTTCTTTCAGTGGCTGCCGCTTTAGACCATATAGCGATTGGCCGCATTCATGAGTCGACGCAAACGCGGTCGCTGCGGCTGAGCGGCGCGCAGTTCGAGCAGAAAGACGATAATGGCCAGCAGGTGCATCAATCCAAAGCTGCCAAAGAGGCCACCCAGCTGCCAGAGGCTGAGTTTGGTGGGCTCACGGTTGCGCATGTTGACTATGTGCTCGATCCGGTCCAGATACATGCGACGAAAGCGGTCCACCAGGCCCGAGGACATCATGTTGATCAACAGCTTATTGATGCGTTGCTTCAGATACGAGTGCGGACGCATGTAAAGGGTCATCGGGGCAGTTAGCATGGGATTACGAAGCATGGTGAGACGCGGCTTCTTGGGTCCGGAGTCCATATCGAATCGGGATGCGGTTGGTCTCAGCAATGGCACCACAAATTGCGCCTCGGCATTGTCGCGTAGCTGCACGAGCGATTCCTCCAGCCGGGGAATGAGCACAACTCGCTCCTGACTGACCAGCTCTCGGAACACTGGCTTGAGTGCAGGCAGCATATGGAACTCGAACTTCTTGTCCAGCACCTCAGCCAGTGTGCGCAGTGGTGCACGCACCCGTGCATCCTGTAGCAATATGTACATCTCGCCCGTGTAAGCGACACGCAGCACCAGCGTCTCGAGCAGCCACATGGCTAGCAGGAAACGGGCGAAATTTCGACGTGGCGGATGCATGTGAATGCCACCAAACAACGTGCTCCACAGCTCCGTGGCAGGCCGTCGATTGTTCTCGCCCAGCACAAAGCGACGCAATCGCGGCACACTCAACAACTGAAGCATTGTAATCAGCGTCAGGCCGGTCAGAATGCTCGTCAACAGGCAAATCCACGTGATGTAMCCGAGCGGTTTGGTCAGCCTCTCTAGCGGCGTCAGCGGACGGCCTCCAGGCACACACAGCACAATGGGGAAGCTGGTGTACGAGATGCTCGGCAGCATATACATGGCGCGCTCCTTGTTGTACATGTATGAGACGAAGGTAATGTTCGCCAAGCCATCAACGATCTGCAATTGTGGAGAGTTAATAGTTATCGTCTATCGTTTTATCGACTTTGATTAGGGAAGTAGATCGATTTCCTATCGTGTGTGGCAGTTATAAGTAAAAGTATTGTCACGATCGATAGTTATCGGAATTGTTCTTTATGGTTCTTGTTTTCAGTTAGTGCTATAAACGTACATACAATTTCGATCATAGTCGCTTTTTAAAGAGTTTAAGGCCTATCGATTTATCGATTTCTATCAAAATCAATTTCAGACTATTGTCACACATGCGTTTATCGATACAAACTGCAAGCTTTTTTATGTATTCAAATCGATATCATGAATGTTATCGATTGCCTTCGAGACCTTTGACTCACCATCTTCATAGCGCCTGTTAGTGTGCCATTAGGATGGACAATGCCACGATCCCCATTGGGCTCCTTCACCAATGTAACTGCAAAGTTCATGCGCTCGGCCAGCAATTGGTAAATCCTGCCCTCGATACCCAACAGACGCTGCACATCAGTCAGATTGCTGTTGTCATCGATGATGACAAATGGACGGTGCTGAAAGGTGACGGTGACCAGCTTGCAGCCATGCATATCATTTACTTTGCTGTCAAAGAAACGAACGCTGTTCTCCAAATGAATGATCGGCGGAGCACCCAGGCTGCCCTGGAAGGTGGCATAGTGCACGGGTTCCGATGACTGACAGCGATGCGGACGGTATGGATAGTAGTTGTACACCTGGATGGTGCCATTCTGCCGATTGGCCAGCAGCACATTTACGTTGATCACGTAGATGGCAAGGAGGCGTTGAAAGATTTTGTAAATGACGCTAAGGCGCCCGGTCTCCTCGCCCGTATACACGATGCAATAGTAGCCATTGCGCTTGTAGAAGCTGCCCGGCTGCATCAGATGCCGCTCCAGACGTAAATACGTGGCCCAGCTATCGAGCAGAAACAGTCCCGTGTCCCTGCCCAGAACTCCACTTGGTGGCGCCTGCGGTGCGTCTTCGGCCAGCGACTCGTCGGTAACGATGCCCTCGTTCTGCAGCAAAAACTTAATGCGCCCGGCAGCTGAGGCCAGACGCAGCACAGCATCAGTGAGATCATTGTGCAGGTCACGGCTCGATTCCCGCCTGGCGAAATTCATGATTGAGAGCGGCTTGCTGGAGTCGCTGGCATAGTGGCTGTTAATCGTCCAAACCACTGCGTATATTAGCGTTATGTTATGAATCGATTGCACCGACTCGCTCGACAACATGCTGAACCGCAAATGAGCCAGCCAAGTGTCCTCAGTTAACTGTCCACGATGGCCAACGTCCATTGCCGATGCTTTTAGTCGTTGCATGCGCACCTTATCGCGGCACATTATCTGCCCAATTGTATTTAAATGGATGTGCCATCAGTTAAAAAGTCGTTGGCCAAATTGCAGTCACATGCGACATCTGAAAAAAACAATAACAACATTACATATACTTAGTTTATAAATTGTTTACAAATTGCGATTTACTTTGCGATACTTTGCTTCTTTTTTCTCAAAACAGATCGTTAGCTTTGAATTGGGTGGCAGTGTGACCAATATACTTATTGGCTGCTTCTTTACCAAATTTCCTTGTCTGGGTGACCATAAATAATATTGCTTCATTTTAATATGCAGCCTTTCGATATTCAAATAGCTGGCAAATGTAAAATGTAAATGTGCAAAATAAAATTAGTTAAATAATATATTGCAAATTAAGTTGATTCCGCTTCGAACTGTTTTTGTCAGTGTGACCAGCACGTGTTCTCATTTTGTGGACTAAATTCATAAGAGTGACCACACTTGAAAATGCTAATGGGCATTTTTTTTTTTGGAATTTGTCTTTTCTTATTTCTCATTTAGTTTTGTTTACCTGGTTTTGTTTTGTCTTGCAATGACTAATTAACAAAGAAACTGCAGCGATGCAACAATTGTTCGTGTCGCAACACACTTTACAGATCGCTGACCGTATTTTATGAACTCGTTTCCAATACAACTGTAATATTGCAGCAGTTTCGTGCTGATCTAAGCAGACGCCCGCAACTGAAGAATAAAAACAAAATAAATACTGGTTCATACACGAATTTTATTCTTATTTTGTACTACAACATACGACGATGGAGTTAAAAGTCCATTGCAGCGCTTAGCTCAGCATTGATGCACTTTGTTCGCTTTTTAGCTCGGTGACACACATTCACGATAAGGCAGTCTACGCTGTGAGAATTTTCTGCCCAACTCCTAAAGCACCAAAAACGGTTACGCTCATAATGAGAGATGGACCAAAGCAACAAACGCAATAATGCAGAGGAAATAGAAATATATTTTGTGATGTATGCACATGACTTTTATTTAAAACTATATATTTCACTTTGACACATATGGAATTCCAATTTTATGTATGTCCAGTGCCAGGTAGACTTTCAAAACACTTTGATATTATATTAAATTTTGACTTATAAAGCTTAGTCGTCAAAAGAAAACAAGCTTTATATATCGAATGAGATCGGAGTTAGATTTTTCAGTGTAATTTGCATGCTTCATGCTGTCATCTGTATGCTATATTTGATATCAGCACGTACCGATGAGTGTTGAGTAAAAAAATTAGTATGCTGGGTCACACTTTTCTCAACGGTCGTAAAACGCGAGATAAAACCGGTAAAGAAATGTCTCGCACAGCTTCCGGATTGACGCAAATCGTAGACAAAATAATTTCAAAATGCCAGATAAGACACTAATTGGAAACCTTTTGGAGCTCTGCATTTGTTTTCAGTGTATCAGAATTTGCGCTGATTCCACGAAAAATTGCTCATCAGCAAATTGTTAAGCCAAGGTTTTTCTTCATACATGTATTTTTTTTTTTTTTTTTTTATTCTGTCTGTTTTTGTTTTTGGTTATATTTATTTATTGTGCTGCGCCGGCTGCTGCAAAAGTCGCAGCTGCAGTCTTTGATTACCCTGTACAATTATTAATTTTAAGCTCTATCGATGCGTTCTTAATCAACTTTAATTTTGTTAATTCTCTAATACATTTTAAAGTCAATATTGTAAGATTTACTTTTCTTCTTCTTAAAAGGCATCGATGTGTCATCGGAATCTATTTTATATCAGAATATCGTACATCGATTTTCTATCGATATGTAATCGGAATCTATTTATTTTTTATTTATCTATTTATTTATCTTACATCGATTTGTTATCGATACGTTATCGGAATCTATTTGATATCGGAATATCGTGCGTCGATTTATTATCGATGTATCGGAATATCGTACATCGGTTTTACATCGATAGGTCAGCGGAATCTATTTAGTATCGGAATATCGCGCATCGATTTGATATCGATATGTCATCGGAATATATTTAATATCGGAATATCGTACATCTATTTGTTATCGATATATCATCGGAATCTATTTAATATCGGAATATCTTATTCGATTTGTTATCGATATGTCATCGGAATCTATTTAATATCGGAATATCGTACATCGATTTGTTATCGATATGTCATCGGAGTCTATTTTATATCGGAATATCGTACATCGAATTTATATCGATATGTCATCGGAATCTATTTAATATCGGAATATCGTACACTTAGCCCATATATGTTTAGCGTCTATTCGGTATGTTGATTTATTAATATCTGTAATTCGAATTGATATATTGAAATTGATATCTCTTGTAGTTTAGTATTTATTACTTTCCTCCTTTGCCCTTGACCTACATTTGTATACGTAACTCCCCATAGCATTCGCATTTGTTTACAGGGTATCTTAACGTTGTTCACTTTCCATTTGAAGACTCTATTCTTGTTAGTTGTCTTTTTGTGGCACACGGAAACGAAATCGAAATGCAATGGCAAATATTTTTTGGTGTCAAAGCCGGGGGGCGTGGCCTGCCACCTCGCGATGCGTGCAAAAAGCAGCGCAGCTCTACAGCACGATTCGGCGACGTCGACAATTTTGGTCTGCTGCTGCTGCGCCGCCGCCGCCGCCGACGACGACCAGGTATTCTATATGGGCCAGCGTTGGAGCGTTTGGAACGTCAGTTGCCGTTCGACGCTCAAGCGAAAGTGCTCTGGAATAAGTGAAAGTGACAGTGGCGAGTGCAAAGTGCRAAGTGCGAAGTGCGGGCTATATACAAATAGAAAATAGGATATACGTCTTAAGGATGCGTTTGTTGAGTTTAACGCTGCTGCTGCTAGGCGGCGCATTGTGCAGCGCCCAGGATGCGCAGCCGGGTGCCACCGTTGTCAGCGGCCCCGAGGCAGCTGCTGCCGTCGATAGCTTGACCCAGGGCGACACTAAGGGTGATGCGACAAATGCCACCACTGCGCCGGCCAAGCTGCAGATACCCAGCCAAGATCAGGTTAGTAAACCCAAATACCAGGATGCAAATGGGCGAGACTTGAACTATCGATAAGTCTAGAAAAGGACTAGAAAGACTAGACAATCTCAATAGAACTAATGTATACGTAAGCAAATACGTTTTTCTCTTTATGTCTAGACACTTTAACATTAAATTTCTATAGGAACAATCAGTTTAATACTTAGTTATAGGAAGATTGCGATTTGTTGGTTATAATTATGATTTTAGCTAATTTTCGTCCAGTTCAATTTTCTAATCCTTTCTCCTTTTCTTCTTTTTATGTTTTCGTCCTTGACCCGCTCTCTCTCTCCCTCTTTCTCTTGTATCCCTGTCCTACCATCATTTCCTCTCTCTCTCTCTCTCTCTGTCATTCCACCCACTTGTAGATTCTCGCTCAGATGCCACCCGTTACGCTACCTCACAGTGGCATTCCCACAGTGGATGCCTTCTATTTCATGTTCCCAGCTTTGAGCAGCCTCTTGCGTTGGGGCAGCCTCTTTCCGGCGCAGACTCTGCTCGGCGCCGTGCCGGACAATCTGCAGGCATCTCCCTCCAAGGTGGTGCTGGTCCTAGCCGATGATGCGAATGGTCACAAGTCACGTGTAACGCGTCAGGATGCAGCTCCTGCTGCTCCTGCACCACCTGCCCCAGCTCCGCCAGGAGCGCTGAATGGCGCGGCTATGTTGCAGCAAATGCAGCAAATGCTTGGCCAGATGCCGCCGCCGAATCTTGCCCAGATGGTCCCGCCGAATCTTGCTCAGATGATGCCCCGACCACCCGCCGGCTGGCTGCCGGACGGCTTCAGCCTGGGCCAAATGCCCCCACTGCCGGACAACTTCAATCTCGGGCAGATGCCGCCAATGCCGGATGCCTTCAATCTAGGCCAGATGGCGCCCGTTATGCAGAGCTTTGGACTGCCAACACTCGACGGCCTGCTCGGCCAGGCACCCGCTGCGACCACGACCACACCAGCTCCACCCGCAGCCAAGCCCGCGGATGAGCCGGCAGCACCGGCGCCGGCACCTGCTGGCCCGACGCTTGGCCAGGCTCCACCACCGGGATTCGGATCGTTCTTCGATGGCAGCAACAACCTGTTGGGCAGCGCCTTGAGCGGTATACCCGGAGCCCCGACCCCGGATTCGTTCATGGCCGGACTACGTCAGTTCTTGCCGGGCAGCAGTGCCCAGGCCTCGGACATATCGGAGGTGCGTGTCAAACCGGAGCACCACGACAGCATCAACTATCGGGCGCCACAGCAGACGCAGGCGCAGCTGGCTCAGCTGAAGATTAAGTCAGCGCTACAGATGGAGCAGGAGAAGCAGCAAGTGCCGTTGCTCTGGTTCCGTATGCCCAGCAAGCAGGAGAACGAGGAGGAGCAGGGCAATGGCAAGACCACGGATCGTGCTCAAATCGAGTCCAAGCTGGAGGCCTTCGAGCGCCAGGTAATCGAAGAACTGCAGCAGCTGCAGCAGATTGAGCGACTGGCACGCGAGATGCGCGCCCATGCCCAAGGTGAGTCGGCAAGGAACGGCGCCTCCTACAAGCTGCGCTACCCCCTGAGCCGCACGCCAGTCCACAAGATCACCCGAGCTGACATTGAGCGTGCCCTACGGGACGACTATGTGCGCCGCCTGCTGAGCAGGGAGATGCAGCGCAGAACCTATACCAAGCGCCAGATTATGACTGGACAGCAGCCGCAGACCCTGTCCAAGGAGGACATCGTCAAGGTAATGGCCTACGCCTATCGCATGGCCGCTGAGAATGCCGAACGGAAGGCCAAGGAGCAGCAGCAGTCGCAGCAGATGCTGCAGCAGATGCAGCAACAGAATCCCATGATGATGCGCCAGTGGGCGGAGGGYGAGGCCAAGGCTAAAGAGCAGCAGCAGTCGCAGCAGATGCTGCAGCAGATGCAGCAGCAGAATCCCATGATGATGCGCCAGTGGGCGGAGGGCGAGGCCAAGGCCAAAGAGCAGCAGCAGGCGCAGCAGATGCAGCAACAGAATCCCATGATGATGCGCCAGTGGGCGGAGGGCGAGGCCAAGGCTAAAGAGCAGCAGCAGTCGCAGCAGATGCTGCAGCAGATGCAGCAACAGAATCCCATGATGATGCGCCAGTGGGCGGAGAGTGAGGCCAAGGCTAAAGAGCAGCAGCGCCAATGGATGCAGGAGCAGACCATGCCACAGCAAGAAAACGCCCAAATGATGCGACAGTGGTCGGAGGAGCAGGCAAAGGCACAGCAGCAGCAACAGATGCGTCAATGGAGCGAGGATCAAGCAAAGGCGCAACAGGCTAAGGAGCAGGAGGCACAACAGCAGATGCGCCAATGGGTGGACGAACAGGCTAAAGCACAAAACTCACAGCAGCAGACACCCATGGTAATGCAGCAACCGAGTGCCCCAATGATGCGTCAGTTTATGGTAGCGCAGAAAGCCCCTGAGCAATTCCAAATGCCCATGACGATGCAGCCGCAGGGACACATGATGATGCGACAGTGGACAGAGGCCCAGACCCAGGAGCAGCAGCAGCGCCAATGGATGGAACAGCAGGCAAAGGCGCAGCAGGACATGCAGCAGCGTGCGTGGTCGGAGGATCAGGCCAAGGCGCAAAGGGAACAGGACTCAGCGCTCCAGACACCCATGATGCGGCAATCCACCGAGGATCAGGCCAAGGCGGCGCAGCAGCAGCAACAGGAGCAACAACGTCAATGGGCCGAGGGTCAAGCCAAGGCACAGCAGGATATGCAGCAGCGTCAGTGGACCGAGGAACAGATCAAGGCACAGGAAAAGCAAACCTCCGAGAAGAGCATGAATCAGGCAGCCGAGCGGCAGTGGGCGGCTGAGAAGATGCTGGCTATGCAGCAGCAACAGCAGCAGCAGCAGATGGATCAACAACAAATGGAGCAGCAACAGCCGCAAATCGATGCCGATGGAATGCTGGGAGAGGCGAAACCGCAAATGCCCGAAAACGCCGGCCAGGCACGACACAAAGGTAATCTCTTTGGCGTATTCCGCAGTACCGATCTTAACCTCTCGCCACAAACAGTGGATATACTTGGCCTGGGTGGGGATCACCGCAAGAAATCCAAGTCCAAGTCGGCGCCCACCATCATCAACTACTACCATAATACGCCGTCAGCTAGCTATGCACCGGCCTACGGTCCAAGTTACGGACATGCGCATAGACCCAGCTACGGCACCAGCTACGGCGGTGGCGGCTACGGCGGTGGCGGCTACGGCGGTGGTGGCTACGGCTCCAATGCATATGGTGGGTATCGGGCGGCTGTGGGTAACGACGAGATCGACTCCATGCTGCGCCAGCATAACACCATGATGGTAAGTTTAACCCTAGACAAGACAATCGCTAGAAGGGACTATCGGAAAACTACGGCTCAGTTATGGGAGTCTTAAGTTCAACCTAAGCTAATGAAGAAAACATTAAATGAAATCCAGGATAGAAAGAGAGACCCTTGAACCAGCTTCATGAGATCCAATGGCCATATGAGAGAAGTCCCTTAGCTTTGACCTATGAGCTGGAAGAGGTCCGCTCAGGAAATTTCGAGCTTGTTGAAGCCTTCGCTTTGGAAATTTTACAGCTATGATTAGAACTGCAGCTCAGGAATTTCACTGAGAGAAGTTCCAGTCTTTCCCAGGGTGCGAAAAGCTGAAATCTAGGAAGGAACTTTCACTGCGAAAGCCTTAAAGTCTTTAGGTCATGTGTATAGCTAGGGAATTCCGGAATCAAGTCCCGACAAGCCGTTGCCTTCGTTATATATAGACAGAGTTCAATTAGTTTTAAGCTAAGCCACGCACACTCACACACATACGCACAGCATACGCCCACATACATTAACACACACACCGACACCCATGTAGTTGGCTTCATATCATTCACATTTCTCCATCTTCTTCCACGCCCGCTGTTCCTCATTGTCATTAACAGGCGACGCATTTCAGGCAATAAAACCCAACGAGCAGAAGGAGCGGCAGGATGAGCAGATGATCACCACTATTACCACCACGAACAGCAACAGCAACAGCAACAACAACAACAACTACAACCACAACCACAACAACGACACTAGCTCGGGCACGCCCCCATCCCTGCCGAACGGCGATCATCGCATACAGAAAAGGTTAGCAAATAGTTTAAGCAATTCCTCGCCAGCTTTGCATGCCGGCGGCTGCGGCTGCGGCAGCGCTCACTGCGCCTGCGGCAGCAGCTGTCGTTGCGCCAGCCGAGCCAGTCCTGGCGGCTGCTCCTGTGCCAGAGCACAGCGCAGCAGGAGCCGGCGTAACGCCGAATATGGCACGCTGGAGACCATCGATGAGAGTTCGCTGAATGCTCTGCGCAAGGAGTACAAGCTGGGCCTGAAGGAGATCACACTGAGCCCGGATGAGGATCCGGCGGAGGCGCTGATGCGCTACAATGCGGCCTCAGTGCGCGAGGCGCTGGAACGTGCCAGCCAGGAGCCGCTGGAGATAAGCAGCGAACAGCTGGCAGCTGGTGAGACGGTCGCCACTCCGCCGGAGGAATACGTCACGGAGTCAACGACAGCTGCCACGCCCACAAGGCAAAGTGTAACTGAGAAGGCGCAAATGGATGAGGCGAGCAGCGAGCGCTCGCAAATGCGCGCAGAGCTGGCGGCGACACGAATCGAATTCAAGAAGCTCTACGGCCTGATCGAAAGCCTCAAGGAGCAGCTGACCAAGGCGGAGCAACGGTTACGGGATTGCCGGCAAGTGGAGGCAACCAGCACGAGCAGCAGCACCAGTAGCACGACTAGCACCACAACCACCACCAGCACCACCACCACAGAGAAGCCSCCAAATGCCGAGCACTGGGAACGTCTGCTGGCCAGCAAAGGCTACGATACCAACTATTTGTCCAAGACGCACGAGCAGCAATATGCCCAGGGCGACCACCTGGATCTATCGAAACCCGACAGCAATGGCTCTGGCGACTACAGCTACCAAGAGCTGCAGCCCTACGATACGGATAACAAATCGAAGCGTGCCACAGGCTCCAGCAGCACCACGGAGCCTTCGGCTGGGGCGCTGCATCAGGCACAGCTGTTGAATGCGGCGCTGCATGCCAATGCCATCAAGGACACCGAAACGGAGGCTGGCTCAAATGAGGGGGCTGACACGACCACGCCCCATCCCTATGCGCTGCGCGGTAAATTTGTGCGCAGGCGCAGCACACGGCTGGGATTGCGTACGACGCGCCAAGCGAAGGTAACGAAGGCCAGCGGCAGGGCGCCCAAGGAGCTATCGCTGTTGCGCGAGCGCAGTACGAAGCTCGATCAGCTGATCGATGTGCTAAACGAACTCCTTCGTTTGCAGCTCCAGCGTGAAAAGGCGTTTGCCCAGATGGCCGGCAGCAATCGAGTCCCAAACAGCAACCCCACCAACCCAACCAGCTCCACCCGTCGCCCCAGCAAATACTCAAAGCGTTTGCGCCGCCGCCGCAAGCAGCGCCCAAGCAACAGCAGCAGCAGCAGCAGTAGCAGCTACATCTCATCATCATCATCATCCGCTAATTGAGCACAATGCAAATGTGTATCAATAACATAAACATTAATATTAACATTAACGTTAACTTTAACATTAACATTAACATTACCATTCACTAATTTAGCTTAATTTCATTTCGTTCACTTTCATTTGCATCAAACAGTCCATCAACAGCATCCACATCAACATCAACATCCACATCATCATCCACATCGAATGTTAACGAAACTGTTGGCTCCACAATTGGCTTCAAAGAGGGCCTGCTCCGTCCGTATATGGGTCTGCTGCCCGTGGCCCAGCCAAACGATCCCTGGAACCAGAAGCCGTACGATCCACACTATCCTCTATACAGCGGCGGCGGCAGCTATGAGGCGTATCTGAGACCACGACGAGATACGCACATCATGGCGCGCACGCAGCAGCTGCTCACGCCCGGCATGCTGGAGCGCCTGTTGCGCATTAAGGCGGAGTTTCAGCGCCGGTTTCCCCATCTCTATCAGGGCATGCTCAATCATCATACGAATCAGACGCGTGTGGTTGTCAAGCCGCCGCTTTTGGTGCGTCTGTCCAGCAGCAGGGCGAGGGGAAAGGATGAGCCTGTCTATGAGCTTGGCGCCGCCGAACGTGGCCTCTTTGACGAGACGGAGGAGGAGGAGCAGGAGTCGGAGGACCCGGAGCTGGACAATGCGATGCGAACGACCACGGAGAAGAACAAGTCAAATCGACGCATCGCCAAGAAGGACGACCTTGATGACGAGGTGGACTACTTTCATTTCGAGGATGACGATGACGATGTCGCTAACGATAACGATAACGATAACGATAATGATGATGATAACGATACTGATATTATTGATGATTAGCTAAAAGTTATTTGAATTATGTATGTACACCCAATTAAAAGAAGCACTTTACAAAAATGTAGAAAATGATAAGCTTTGACTTTTAATTGCCGATAGGCGTTGCGAGAGCACCGTTAATCATTGCACATAGAGCCAGCCAGGGCGAGAGAGAGAGAGAGAGAGAGAGAGAGAGAGAGAGAGAGAGACAGCAACAGTAGGCGCCTGCTCAGCAGTTAGCTTTGCCTTTTGCACTAGAGGCAATTGTCTGTGCCCCGGCTGACTCATGGGGAATCCATTTAATGCTGATTTAATAAACATGTGTCAGCGTAGCAATCCATACAAATCTATGTATGTATGTATGTATGTGTGTGTGTGTGTATATTTACCAAACCCTTGAGGCGTATTCTCATCTGATTGGCTCAATTACCCAATTACTGAGTTGAAATCGATTTAATGCATTAATGGACATTCTTCGACTACGTCGCAATGCCTGTGGCTTTATATGTATGTTCTGCATTTATAATCTTTATTTAGAATTGTTAAAGGTTTCTTCTTATGTTGTGCTATTTTGATCTACTGGTTCTATTTGTTTAAATCTTTTTAGTTTCCCCAATTATGTTTGGTATTTTTTTAATGGCTCAGGCTTCATTTCTGTTACCGATTGTTGAATTTCCTTGATGATGATGTATCTGATAATGATAAGAACAAATTGAGATGACTTATAAATACAAATAATTAAGTATTTATAATTCATCTCAGTTTATTCTTCATTTATTTTTATCTGCCAAGCATTGTTTACTCAGCGTATTCATCGCTTTTGGTATTTTTTAGTGGTTAACTCGATAGTGCGTGGATCGTCATTTCGATAACCACTAATCGATTGAAATTAAATGAGACAATTTTTTAACGGCTTGCCTTGTTGTGTAATTGTGACAATCAGATAAATGCTAATCATGAAGCAAGGGGTAGCATTTCGAATTATTAAACATGCCCTGTGCCTATTAGCTGTCCATTAAATATATTTCCCTGGAGTCGGCGAATCAAGAACAAGAACAAGAACAGGAACAAGAACAAGGCAAACCCATTGGATGTCAGTTGCAGCTCACAAGCCGAGAAATGCGGCTAACTGTTTGTCTTCTGTTCAGTTTGGCGTTGCTGCTGCCGCTGCCGCAATGTCACGCGACACTGGTGATGCAGATGGAGACAACCTCAAGGTTGAAGTCGCTGTCGCTGGCAATGGCCCAGGTGCTGCAACAGTCGGAGATGTCGCACAGCCAGACGCTTTACGTTCACTTGAAGTACAGCTCGCTGACGGCTCGGTCGCCGCTGCTGGAGCTGTTGGGTGGCGTGTTGATGGCATTGCCAGCCGCAGCGCCGCAACCGCGCTACCTGTTCCAGCAGAGGGTCCTGTCGTACAGGCCGTATAGGCATGCTGTGCTGTTGCTGGTGGAGGATCTGCGTGCACTGCAGCGCCTCTACGAACAGCTGGGCGCAACGAGCGATTTGTCCTATACGCTCATCTATATGCTGGATCCGCAGCCGGAGCTGGTCATGAAGCTGCTGTGGAACCGCAGCGTGCTGAAAGCAGGCCTGCTGGTGTTCGACGGACAGGACCTGCTGCTGCTCAGCTATTTTCCGTACAGTGCGAATCACGGCTGTCGGCGTGTCCGTGCCAGTGTTGTGAATCGATTTGACGGCAAGCTGGGTGCTTGGGAGCTCGACGAATATTTCCCAGCCAAGCTGGACAACTTCTTTGGCTGCACTTTGACCTGCGCCACGTGGCCGGACATGCCGTATTTGGTGAGACGCGATGATGGCACCTTCCTGGGCATCGAGGGCGAACTGCTGCAGTTCATGGCCGATAATTTGAACTTTTCCGTCGGCCTCTACTGGCTGAACGAGTCGCAAGTGCGTGAGACTTTCGATGAGTCCGGCTGGGTGTTCGAGAAGGTGCGTATACGTGATATTTATAAGTGAACAAATACTAAAAGGATGGTTTGCCGTAGCTTCGGGTTTCTATTTCGGTTGAAGGAAAACCAGTGCTGAAAACTTCTGTTGGACATTTTTTGGTACAGTCGAGTCTCGATAGTTTCAGCCCCACTAAATCGAAAATCGTTCATTCTCGATAAGTCTCGATACTTTAAATTTCTTTGTAAATCGAATTATGGGGACTCGACTGCACTAGCACTGGGGTATTTTATTTGGTATTATAAAATTAAATTAAATTTTGTTCGGTATTTCTTTATAATAATCTTAATTGGCGGTACTCGCTGTAAATATGAAGCATTATTTGGTATTTATAAAATATAATTAAAATATTTTGGTATATATTTCAGCATTATTTCAGTCATTTTATTTTGCTTACAGATCTTTAGTAAAGCGGAATATGCTCTGGGTGGCTTCCACTATAAGCCCAACGAGCGGGATGAGGTGCCCTATTCGCAGTCGAGATACTACTTCATGAGCCACATTATGCTGGTGACCAATCTGCCTAGTGCTTACTCGGCCTATGAGAAACTGGCATTTCCTTTTGATCCCGCTCTGTGGCGGGCCATCGCGCTGGTCCTAGCGCTGGGCTATTTCGTAGTTTGGCTATTGAACCGATTTGCGAAGAAGATGCCGCAGGTAAAATATATTACATAGAAGATAACTTACAATCAATATTTATAGTTACATATGTTTATGTCTATACAAATAGTGAGGTTAAGTTAAGAAATGTTTTAGGTTATGTTATAGTGTTTTTGGTTATGTTAATCAAGGTTAGATTTATTGAACAAATGTCTATTTACAAACATGTTTTCCTTTCAACTCTACCACAGCATCCGTATTACCAGCTGCTGCTGCTGACCATAGGCGGAAATCTGTTGTCCCGGCAACTGCCGCAGCGCGTATCGCTGCGCCTGCTGCTGGTCACGTGGCTGCTGTGCACCCTGGTCATACGCAGCGCCTACCAGTCGGGCATGTACCAGATGCTGCGCCAGGACAGGCAGCGCAATCCGCCACAGACTATAGCCGAGGTGCTGGCCCAGAGGTATACGGTTCAGCTGGCGCCTGGCAATGCGCAGCGCTGGATGGAAAGTCTGCCGGAGCTGAAGGATCGGGAGCCGCCGCAGGAGCTGGAGACCAGCGAGCTGCAGTCCTTTGCCGGCCTGGCTGCGCTTAGCGGCAGCGATAAGCGTGTGGCGATCATAACGCCATACGAATACTTCGGCTACTTTCGCAAGGTGCACGCGATGAGTCGCCGACTGCATCTGGTCAGGGAGCGCATCTTCACCCAGCAGCTGGCGTTCAATGTGCGCCGGCACTCGCATCTGGTTGGTGTGCTCAACAAGCAGATTATGCAGGCCCATTCGCATGGCTTCCTCGAGCACTGGACGCGCCAATATGTTAGCGCTGTGGATGAATCCGAGCAGAGCATCGCCCGGATCCCTGCGGTGCCCTACGAGACGCTCAATGGCTATCAGCCGGAGGGCGAAATCGAGCAGCGCGAGGATGAGGCAGTGCAGGCCAAACTATTGGTATTATCCTTCAAGGAGCTGGCCGCCCTCTTCTGGCTAACGCTGTGGGCCCTACTCGGCTCTGTGCTCGTCTTTGGCCTCGAACTGTTGCTGCATAAATAATGCTCGAAATTTATTTTGTGCTAAAACGTTTTAATTAAATTACTTCATAATCCAGCAGTGCACATGCCGAGGAAACGACTCTGGGATACCCTGTCTGCCGTGCCATGGTCTTTGCTTAATATCTGGAATAGTTCAACAGAGAAATTTAATAAATATATAGGGTATATGCCCTACATACCAAATTGTATATCACTTGGCCTTATAGCTGTCGACTTATGTCAATGCGAGGCATACTTAAATAATCGATACTTATCGATATTCCTGACAGATAATGCCATGAGCATTATGCAGTCGTCAAGGCTTCCTTCTGCCGCAACACGCATTTCGCTATCATTTGCCCAATTGGTACAGGGTATAAAAACAAAGCTCTTCCAGCATCGCCCGCTGATAGTTCGCAGCGTTTGCTGCTCGTATCGTAAAAACGCAAAACGTTTTATCTAAAAGCGATAAATTTGCAAAAGAGCGAAAAACGAATACGGAAAACTTACAAACGCGCCACCAAAATCTCAATCCACAAAAAGCACTTGCACACACAGACACCGACACACATAACCCACCCACATGGACATCAATTTTCTCGCCCAATGTATGTGTGTGTGTGTGTGTGTGTGTGTGGGATGGGGATGGGTGTGTGTGTGTGCGCCGAAAAACGCTGCCGAATGCCGTTAGTGATGCGCACAGTCCAACACCCTTTCGAAGCTTCAATTCAACTGATTCGACAGTAATGTTAATGAAAGCGATTGACTGAATGATTGATTGATTGACTGAAAGATTCAGTCTCGGAACATGCAGCCTATAACTATAAGAGCTATGCGATATATGGCTTAGGAAGGGTTTAATTCACTTACTTCTTGATTGATTGATTGATTGATATGAGTTAGGATGGGGTTGCTTCACTTACTTCTTGGCCGATTGACTGACTGATTGATGTGTCATGTGTAGCCATAAATATTTTTGTTTTTTCCTCCATTTTAAGTAAGAGCGATGAAGGGTTGATTGATTGATTGACTGATTAATTAGCATTAATTAATTTGATTGATAACGTCCAGCGTCATATTAATTATTATTTTCTCACGTTGTGTAAGAGCTTAAAGCACTCACAGATTGATTGTTTGAATTGATTAATTGGTGATTGATGATTGTTATACCTAGTTATAGCTGTGAGCGTTTTCTATTGCTTTTGTTGGATACTTAGAATGGGTGAAATAATTGAGTGATTGACTGGCATGATTGAACTGCTTCCAAAATTAAAATTCCTATGGGTTTGATAATCGACTGTCTCTCCCCAATATTATGTAAGGTGATGAATGATTGATTGACTTGAGTAAGATGTTTTCCGCACAGCTTAAAAATTTGTTGTTGGTAAAGCCTAAGTCTTGCCTTATGGAAAAAAACGAGCATGGAAGTTGTGTTGATTGATTGGATGATTGATGCTCTACATATAGCTATAATTTCTTAGCAAGCTCAATAGTACATAATATCAGCGTGTATAGCTATAAATGTAACTATAATTTAATTTTTAGCCGCATATTACATTGCCATGGAATAGGACTCGGATAGAGCAGAGCTCTATATAGTGTCCCGAAACAAAAAAAAAAAAAAAAACACAACCAAAATTGTCCCTCCCAAGGCGCCAGAATCGAGCTTTGAGTGGAGCTGCGCTGCTGCTTCTGCTTTGCTTATCGCCTCGCACATTTGCGCTCTTCCCGAACATTTTTTGCGCCACAGAATGTGCTGTAATGGGGCGTGGGGGCTACCATGTTACCCCCAGCTGCCGAGTCTACCACCCATCAGCTGCCACCCCTCGTCCATGGCATAGAGCATATCCACTCCCAATGCCAAGTAGTCAACGACATCGACGTCGTCATCGTAGCTGAAAATTCAAGTAAATGTATTGAACTTAAGCTCATTGCCTTTGCCTGCATTGTCGTTGTATGCTCTCGCTCTCTCCTCGCTCTCTCTCTCTCTCTCTGTCTTGATGTAGCATACTTTTCTCGCTTAGAAACCCCTCCCTAACCCATCTTCGCTTTAATATTGAGGAAAACTTTGTGCAATTCCTTTTATAAAATGTTTTTCTTTTTCATCAGCTATTTTTCTGGGTCGACATCATGTACAGCGAGACGATAGGCTGCGAACGAGTAACGAGTGAGTAGAAAGAGAGAGAAAGAGTGGGAGAGAGAGAGATAGAGACAGGAGGAAATAAGCAGTGAGAGGAAAAGAGATGTGTAAATGGAAAGCAAGAAAAAAAAATATGACGAGTAGAAAGATTGCAAATCGGAGGTAACGAGTGTTCTGGGATAAATGAAAAACTGGAGCGAGCAATTTTTATATGCAGGAACAGACGATGGAAAGACTCTGCGAATAAATTTTGAGCAGGTAGTAGAGAAGTGATCAGCGAGTTGAGAGTGAAAATGTTGAGCGAGAAAATGTTGAGCAACGAGAAAATACCTGATTTCTGGCAAGTTGATAATGAACGAGTAGAGCTGATAAATACTGCGAGTAATCAGTGAGTGGAGTTGTGTAACACCATAACGAATAACAATACAGCGAGTAACAATGTAACGAATAACAGTACAGCGAGTAACAGCACAGCGAGTACCAGTATAACGAGTACCAGTATAGCGAATAACAGCACAGCGAATAACAGTGCAACGAATAACAGTACAGCGAGTAACAGTGTAACGAATAACAGTACAGCGAGTAACAGCACAGCGAGTAACTGTACAGCGAGTAAGAATTAATCAAAAGCCTCTCAGAAGCATGCCAGCATACAAGAACTGCGACTATTCAATGCGAGTGAATGATGCTTGGGTCTGGGGCACGCCCAGTGCTCGTTGATGTGGCTCAACTTTTATGGCCACAGCCAGAGGCAGAGCTGAGATGCGACTCGTCTGGACTGCTTACTCGCGGCGATTGGTAATACTTTGGCTCGTTTTTTGCGTATTTTTTGCCAATGAATTTTTATGGCGCGACTTTAGCGTTTAGGCGATGTGCAAAGAGGGAGAAAGAGAGAGAGAGAGAGAGAGAGGAGAGAGCGACGAGTCGAGGCAAACAAAACAAATATATTCATGACAAGATTATGTGGCAAGCCGACAGCAAGTGCACTTAAAAATTAGAGTTAGTGGGAGGGAAGCAGCTATACATATAGAGAGACAGACAGCGAGAGGCAGAGGGCGGGAGATAGGGAGTGAGAGGGGTGGGGGAGAGCGACGCTCTGGTAACCATTTTATCAGCTGCTGGTGCTTGGGCCACACAAAACGGGCAATTTCCGGCCGCGGAATTGCAGCTAATTAGCTAATCAACACAATTATGAGGCAGACATGAACCAGGACCAGCAACAGGACAACGCGTATCAGGAAGAGGAACCGCTACAGCTACAGCTACAGCAACAGCTACAGCGATAGCAACAACAGCAACAACAGCAACAGCAATGGAAATGGCAACGTGAACAGCTAAAAGCCAAACGCAGCGGAAGTTGAGCAGACACAGAGAGACCGCAGACTTCAGCCAAACAAGCTTCATCCTTCACATCCGCCGAGCCACAAATGTTACCCAATGGGGCCCAAGCTGCTGCAGCTGCAACTTGAGCAACGCGGCGTATGAGCTATTTAGCAGCAGCTGCGGATAAGTCAAATGGCTGCCAGATGAGAGAGCTTAAGCCTGCCACTTGGATGAAATTGCAAAGTATTGTTATATTCCACATATTAGCTCGTTGCTTCGATAAGCTTATAATACCAATAATACCAATCAGATATGGATGGTATCATAGCACATATGTGAAATATGCTGTGAAAGTAATTAGGAGTTGGAAGTTTACGCTATGAATTCAAAATGTGTATCTAAATTTACTTATTAATTTAAAGCATTTCGATATTGAATCAGTCTTTTATATATCGTTACATAAAATCTGAAGTATCCCCATTTCCTCACACCTAATATACTAATAGATAAGACAATCAAACTGATCAAATTTGATGGAATTAGCTAATTATGCTGGAGATTAACAAATTATGCTCATATAGATTCCATTAATATGAATATATAAATATATATTTCTATATAGAGAGCATATCATATATGATCTCAAACAAAAAACCAACATTTACAGTTGCATCCAATGAGTTTATTCAGAATATGTGTATAGCATATACATATGTATTCTATATATATACACACATCTGTATATACTCTCTATATAGTATTATATATATACTATGTAATCTCTATCTGATCTCAAGTAAAGACATAACCAAATTTTATAATTCAATGCAATAAATTTATTCAGAATACATGTATATAGTATATAGATATCAAATTTATATCTTAATATACTCTCTAGTCTCACTTTGGAATTTTGGTCTCAGTTTTTATATTGCCAGGCGAGATAGTCCAAGGGACAGACATGACGCTTAGTCAGCCAGCGCGAAATACAATGGTAGTGGTAAACGTGCTGGCAGACCCCGCAAGCCTTCGGGCAATCAACGGACATATTCGATAGGCACTCGTTGCATAGCTCATCAATGTGATTGCGACAAATGGCGCAAGTATCAACCCCAATATCTAAGTTGAAGATAGGCGTCTAATATTATGCCAAATTGCTATACATAACTTACCCCAAGCCCAAAAAGCATTGGCATTCCACTGTATGGAAAAGGAAAAGAATAGAGCGAAATATAAGTTGGGTTAATTTTTTTCGGCTAATTCTACCATATAATTGGATGCAACTCGATGTTGTCTTACATTCATTATTTGGAAGCGGGCGCTTTTCTCGTCAGTGGCATCATTATTAATTTTCTCAAATTCTTTCATTTTAAATTCTTGTGTTTTCTGCTTGTTGCTTTTTGAAACGATTGCTTACGAAGTTAGTACACTAAAGAAAATATGTAGTTGCTTTCAATACCGAAAGCTGACAACATTCTCAGGGATGCAGCAAAGCCTACCCGAAATTATTCAAATTTCGGTTCTACAAAGGATCCGTGTACACAAGATATTTACCAAATTAAAAAAAAAGTAGATTGTTAATTTCTCAATGAGATGCATAAAGTTGTAAAAATCATACAAATTCGAAAATACTGATATTACAAAAATGGGACATTTTTTGTACATGTTTACATATATATTCTCTTTCTGTTAGTCCCATTTTCATTGTCCTTAAGCGTGCCTGTGTCCATTGCAATTGTTCTGCGCCTGGCATTCGATTTATGCATACATATCCTTGATAATTATTGCGACAAGTGCCACAATTGTCAATGATATTATCCATTCGTTTAATTAAACAAAAATAAATGGCAAATAAGTAAATATTTCCAGCTGCCTTTCACTCGACCCATGGCTTGACAACGCCACAGCCAGCTGCAACAAGGCTTGGAATTCCCCGTTCACTTTCACTCGTTTTGCAACACTTACGCTCGAGTAAGTAACGGGTGACTCATTTGAATAACAGCTATGTAGTTTATTTGGCAATAGGATAGTCTCTCAGAGGAATCACATGAACGTGAACTACTCGTAATGATTAAGTGCAATTACCCAACACTAAAGGGTAACTGGTTCATTGAACCAATCAGCTGACTTGATCTCCAGAGCTGAGCGTTCTTCAAACTAATTATTTCATTACAAAAGCAGCAGGAAAGAAAAACAAAGGCTGGATAACTCAAGAGTTCAACATCATCATCATCGTCATCAACATTCTCATCATCATTATTATTGCCACGCTTAATATCCTGTGTCAACTATTGTCTGTTCCATTTGCATTTTTGCAATTATTTCAATTAAATCTACAAAAGAAACGTCTGGCCGCAGCCCCAAGGCAAAAGCAGTTGAACACGAAGTGGATGTGGGGGGCACGGGTGGGGGGGTGTCTGTCCGGCTGCGTTTGGCGAATATAATTTCCTTGCGCCGGATGTGACAATGAATACGCATTAATAAGTACACACATACAAAAATTATAAATATACACACACACACACGCATACAGAGAGGCAGACAGAGACACCTGCGCATGTGTGTGTTTGTGTGTGTGCTTTCCGGTGTGTAAATTGATACGCCCGTTCATTTATTCAACCGTTCAGCGACTCGCTTGACCCCTCGCGCCCCTTTCTCGCTCTCACTCGCACTCCCTTGTGGACAGCCCAGACGTAACCGCACAGCGTGCGCTTCAATGAATGGCTGGCTAATTTTGTAGAGAGGCGCGCGCGTACGGCACGCGCTTTTAACAATATTAATATGCACAATAATATACCAATATACATACAGACATATATATTTATATATATAGTACATATAAATAAATGCAGTGACGGCACAGCGGGACAAATGAAGGATAAGCTGAAGCCAAGGGGGCCGGCCGGCTACCAGCAGCAAGACAAAAGGCGCAAAATGAAAGACGAAGCAAAGCAAATAAATTTCATTGTAGGCGGCTCGCGCGTGACATGGCAACATTGTCGTCGGCGTTGCCAGATGACAGCAGGCAGTCGTCCTCGTTGGCGGCGCCTCAAATTGGATTGGATGACAGACAGCAGCACAGCGGTTTCTCAATTCGCCTGTACGTCTGTCTTATTGTGGTGCTTGAAGCCAACAGTGCTGCCAGAAATGAAAAAGCCAAACTTACAAGAAAAAAAAGCCAAAAATCGCTATCAACTGATCAATAAATATGCAATAAAACGCCAAAAATATATCCATTTTAAACTAATTATAATTATTTATATATATTTTAACTTCCCACCTTTAACACATTGCTTCTTCGCATAAGCCCGCCATGGTTATTAAAAAGCTAAAATGTCATCGCTTTTGCGCACTCATCAAGCAGCGACCGCATGTGCGTAATGTGATTATTTACATGCTGCCAGTGTTGCCATATATATTTTTTGTAATTTATTTCTTCTTCGCTTGCATGCTGCCATGCTGCGCGTGCTGTAAAGATGAAATTATATGATTTGAATAATAATTGAATTAGAAAATCATAGTCAAAGCCCCACAACATGCGCCACTCAGTTGTTGCCGCCTGCGGCGCAAACAAACAGACGCCACCGTCAATGTATGTACATATGTATGTAACAACGAGACGGCTCACACAAGCCCACTCGAACCGCAAGCGAATTATTGTCACATGCGCGCATTTACATGTGCATCCACTGCTGCAGTTGCTGCTGCTGCTACTCCTGCAGTTGCTACGGTCGTTGCTTTATGAACCTCAAGTCCTTGTTGCGTGCTAACATGCCATGCACATACATGCATATGTACATACATTTGTTTTTTAATTTCAAGTCCACACCCAACTGGCTAATTTAGCACATTTTGATGAACTAGTAGATGGCAGCACTGTAGCCACTGCAAGCGATCAGCTGATCGACATGCCTTATTCGCTTGTCTTCCTCTTTGTTATGCATCTAATTTGTGAGATTTAAATTGTGCAATTCATTTAAGCTCCAACAAGGCAAATGCGCGCTCAAATTTGCATGCCAAAAAGCAGCACGATGTGTGTGTGTGAAGAGGCGAAGGAGAAGAGAAGCGCAAACCAGCTCGAAGCGACTGCCAAGTGCTGCATCCTTATAACTTGGGCTCTAATGCGCACGACATTTGTCGCCTTCAAATGGTTAACAAGTTTCTGCAAACGGCGACAGACAGACATCATTTACTATGTGAGTTGTGCGTGAATGTGTGTGTGTGCGTCTTGTAATCATGTGAATCCGTTTAAACTGTCGAAGTGTATTGTGCGTCATTATTCTCTTTCGTGCCATTAGACTTGAATAGTTTTTCCAATACCATAAAAAAGGAGAAAACGACGTACTCTTATCATGTGTTGCTGCTGCAGTGCATGTGCATGAGAATGTGTGTGTGTGTGCCCGTCTGTACATACATATGCATTGCACAGGCTGTCTCCGCCCCTACCAGGCGGCACTCAAAATGGCGTCTGATCAAAATTCTGATTGGCATGTGCTTAACCACGAAATACCAAAAAAATATACCACATGGCGGTCTGCTCTTTGTCTGTATCGATAATGACTGCCGATCAGAATAGTTATAAAGCGCTAAAAAATGTCTAAGCCGCATAAGCAGCTTATGTGCGTTCATTATGGCATCCGAGTCAAAATATTGCTGCCTACATACTAAAAAATACATTAAATAAATATGTACATATATGTATCGATATTTGAAATGCAACTGCAACCTTGGCAACTAGGCTGTATTTGCCCCACTTCAGCACCGATTTGTCCCCCTTTTTGATTTTTATCAGAAATACATTTTGAGCTTTAAAGCTGCCTTTGCCACATTTTTGTTGGGTCTTAATTGCGGCCAATTTGGTAATTTTTGTTCGTACTTTTATTGCTCAATGGCAACAATGAGCTTAAATAAATCATTTTAAAAATTGTATATAGCCCCCGCTTGACGTGTGCTATGCAAATTGCATTTTAAATACACAAACACATAATATATGTACTGTATATACTCTATATATGTGTGTGCTTGTGTGTGTGTGTGGCTCATTACAAAGATCAATGGCAACACCCACACAAGCATAATTGATGTAAGTGACAAATGCCAGATGCCGACTGCCAGTTACCCTGTAAAGAAGTGTACCATCTAGTGAAAATGCAATTAAATAATTTGTAAATTAAAGAGTTTTGATTATGTAAGACAAAGAGCTATAGGCAAAACTATACGGAATGGAAGCTAAATTTCAGTAGTCTTTAATACCCGTCGTTTGTCTGTTGCCATTGGGTATTGCAAATATGCAACATTTTTGTGTGCAGAGGCAACACAACAATTGGAATGTAAACTGTTGTTGCCTTTGGATAATAGGGGAGCCTACAAAGGGATGAAATGAACAACAACAACTGCACCAACAATTAAAACGCATTAAAAATGGCAAACGAATAATTCTATGCTCTAGGCAATTAATTATTTATAAATTTCTATAACTGTTGGTACCTTGAAATTATGTTTGACAAAAGCTCAAAATATACATATTTCTGTTTGCACGATTTGCCTTTTTGGGTATTACGATTTAACGACACAAGTCGTGGCCAGGTTTAAAATCCTTTATGATTCTTTGTCAAAAAAAAAAAAAAAATGTTGAGTTTTGTTCGAAATTACTAGTATACCATTTCATCTTATTTACCAATTTCATGGTCAATGAATCTTTCTCAGCCCCCCGTGCGAAAAGAAAGAAGAAATCATATGGAATAGATCTAGCTGACAATCCTCAACATTTGCTTGAAAATAGAGCAAAAACTAATGTAAAATTAAACTCTAAGATTGTGCACCTAGGTACTTCCTTTCCGTTACCCTCTTTTGGTACATCCCTCTCCTTATACTATACATACTCGCTACATTCTTCACTAGCTACCATTAAATAGACATTAGAAATATTTTTATTTACTTGTTTATTTTCATACTCTGGCTGAATTACACAATTTTGAAACGAACTTAAAATTTGGAATTTCGATGTTCATTTTCTCAAATGGGAATTAGCCAAAATGCAAAATGGAATTGACTATTTCTTTCATAGCGCCTCACGCTCTGTGAATGGCGAACAGTTAGACTTTACTCATCAAGATTCGTCGCAACAACTTACTTATCTTATTCACACGCATCGGAATTCATCTTAATTTTGCCAAAACGGATTGCAATGGGTATTACTATATGTTTGCACGATGTAATTTAGTACTTGAACAATTTTATACACATTGATCTAATCTTTCAGTTTGCCATAGATTGTAATATTAAATGATTGATGATACCTGCGCGCATTAATAGAGTTGTTAAAGGGAGCGTTTTGAAGAGATCTACTAGATACTTACCAAATTTTGGTCACCCGGAAGCAAAGGTACGATAGTTCGCTTCCCAAGGCGATCAAAAACTTCAAAACTTTACACAAATTACGAAAGTGAATACTAAAGAAGGAATTGATAGATTGAATCTGTGTGCGCGTAAAGGATATGTTCGTGTGCCAAACTCACCTTTCTGGTAAGGAAATACGTAATACGAACACTTAAAACTCCAGTTCTGGACGATTGTTAATTAACTTTTTAAAAATTATTAAAGCTATGCACAATTGGCATCCGTGACGCCTGTAAAATGGTTGATCACATTCTATATTCCATTTACAGTATGCGCTCTCGAAAAGCAACTCACCATTGTGTTACACACCCAATTCACAATGAATAACACATAAACTGTTGCTCAAATTAAAGCTTAAAACACATTACGAAATTTTGCACGCGTTATTTTATATTCGAATTCCTAAAAAGACACGAAACTTTTATGTTTAACAAAACAAATTTACAATAAATTTTTATTTTTCCAACTGAAATTTTGAAATGCTGTTGACTCGAGCCGAGCCTAAACTGAAATGAAATATTTTCCTACAGACGGAGCTTAGCTGCTCCGAATTTTCGTTTGATCTCAAAGCCTACTACACAAGTGAGATTGCTCGATTAGCAGAGGCTTTGGGGTTCGATTGATTAGTGACTTCAAGCACACTTTATAGCTGTATATCGTTTATGTAGTGCGGTAAATTCACAATTTTAAATGAATTGAATTACACTAGAAACTAAATTCAAAGTTTTGTAGATCAAGATTTGAAGGCGTAGGAGATATGCTCCAATAAGTAAAGCTCTATCGATTTGAAGGCAAAATTATCGATTATTTGTGAAAATTTTCGTCTTAATCAGCGACAATCAAGAGTGAGTGAGACAGAGAGAGAGGGAGAAAGAGGGTGAGGAAGTAAGAGAAGTAAGACAGACAGATATAGAATCTATTAGTTATGTTGCATGAATTGCCTGTTCTTGGTCAAAGACAAACTCGTAGGCGATGCGATTCGGTGTTTCATTTAATTGAATTGCAATATTAATTCATACTTTGCTCAATATTAATATACGAATATCGGGCACAACACAAAAGTGAGGCGTACTCCGATAATAATTAAGTGGGGCACACAAAATGTTGGTCAACTCGACTCCAATAGCCACGAGACCATTGCATGTTCATTCAATAGACAGCAAGTGCATCATTTGTTCGACATTTCCGACAGATGGATATACACATATAGGCACACACACGCACACACATAGATAATACGAAGCACATGATATGCCTATAGAAACATTTAAGTTTGAAGCATTATATTAAATACTTGGACCTTAACAATTTCGAGCGAGGTGAGTTTGAGATATTCACAGCTAAATGCAAATTGCCTTTACCTAATTATGAATTTTCAATTCAAATACATTTTTGACAAAGTACAATTAGAGCTTTTATTTTCACCTAAGTTCCACACTTTCAAGTGAAGCTGTGAGCTTTAAAAATTATATAAAACACTGGAGACCCTCCTAGAGGTAACATAGTGAGATATGATCTGTACTTCAATCAGGAAAATTATTCCAGTCAAATAGCAGGCATTTCCTTAGTTTGCTTATCAAGTGAATTTGAAAGACAATGGCACTCGAGCTTCGTTGCGTAACAGTTGAAGCGGCCCTCGCTGACTAGGGAACAGGTCTCCTTTCTGCCGGCACCTCCACCTCATTCTCCTCCTTCAGCTGCTGCCCCATTAGTGCCCTCTCGCTCGCACGTTCATTGTAGTTAAAGACAAAATTCTGTTGCATCGTTAGCCTAATTGCATTTTCCAGGCTGAAATAGCAACAAGACAAGTCAAGAAAGCCGAACGAAATGCTAGAGAAAGGACGCTAGGGTATGAGGAGAAGGAGAGCCGCATGCGGTATGCTGCATGCGTGCATGCGTGCATGCAGTACGTATGTATATGTCATAGAGCTGTCCACAGCGTCCTGACTTGGACTGCCCAACTCCCCAAGTTCGGTCAGCCGGCTCTGCGTTGGCGTCTGGGCCACAGAGTTGCAGATTGCATTTTTTGGTTATTAAGTCTGTACGCCTCGCCTTCTCTCTATCTTCTATGCTCATTGTGTGTGGCCATGTGAGCAGGGGTATATTGCACTAGAAGCCAATTGCCACCACATGAACTATATATATGGATATATGAGTGCCTCAGTCTCGTCTCTTATAGAAGAAAATCGATAAATATCGATTTCTAGTTTTACATTTTTACTTTGTACTGCACATAAGTCAAAGCTAATCGCACAGCCATTTGAAAAGTTAGTGCGCATCCTTTAGTCGTTCACATTTGTCCTTTCATACAATTTGCCCTGTTTGGTTGGCCAGTGTGGCCAGGCACTGTCATTGTCATTGTCATCATGTGCATGTGCATGGCACACGTAACACGCACACACATCAGACACATAAACATACACACACACACACACACACACACACACACACACACACACAACCACATGTAATAACTAGTCGTTTATTTCAAGAACTCAGTCTCTGTGGGCTGTGGACTAACTTTTGACTTTTGATTTCTCTGGCCTAAATGAACCTAACCAACAACTGCACCAACGCACGCCCTATCTCTCTCACACACACACACAGATATACCCACACAACAGCTAAACTGTGCTTATTCCTGTTCCTTACCCTTCAAAAGGCGTCGGCAAAATTCGTTGAAGATTTTTGATATTTTCATTACGTGCAGCTGCCAGTTACGCATCATTGTGTATGTGTGTGCGTGTGTGTGTGTGTGTGTATGTGCAGCTCTTCTGGTTGGTTTATAAAATCTTGTACATGAACAGATTTCTATCACTTAATCTCTGCTGACATTTTATGTAGAAGCCAAGAAAAACGAGACCGAACGTAACGCTTACAACAAGCCCATTTCCCACACGTTCCACCCCATTCCGCAATGTTTACCATACCACAAAATTTGGCCATGCATTTTAGCTTATGAATTAATACAGACCATCAATGGGTGTGTGTGTGTGTATGTGTGTGAGTGCTTCGTGCGTCTGGCCATATAATTCAAATTAGAACAAGGCCGGAGTGCAGAAAACAATGGCATCTACTCCATTGCTTAGTTAAGGCGCTCATAAAATTCGAAGCTTGGAATAAAATAACTGTTGAAAAATTGAAGTTAAATTTTGACAATTTTTAAGAATAATAAGATAGAGATAGAGATACAGATACAGATAGAGATACAGATACAGATACAGATACAGGTACAGATACAGATACAGATACAGATACAGATACAGATACAGATACAGATACAGATACAGATAAAGATACAGATACAGATACAGATACAGATACAGATACAGATACAGACACAGATACAGATACAGATACAGATACAGATACAGATACAGATACAGATACAGATACAGATACAGATACAGATACAGATACAGATACAGATACAGATACAGATACAGATACAGAGATACAGATCCAAATACAGTTATAGATATAGATTTAGATTTAGATTTAGATATCTATAAAATAAGATCCTAGTTCGACTCTTAGATTACAAATAAGAAGAAATAGAAATGTTTTGGGTGGAACAGAAACGATTTAATATAACGCGAATTTTAAATGCTGTGACAAACCAAACGAAACGAAATCTAAATAAAATAATAAATCGAAAAGAAATGTAAATATGTTTTCTTTCCCATTTGGTCGACTACATCAGGCGGGAAACTGTGAATGGATCGTGGGAGCGTTGCACTTGCACTTTGGGCAGGGCGCGGCGAAACATGAAGGCGCCACGATAATGATCTCCGCGTGCCACCAAATCCGAGAGGCAGTCGACCCACTGCCCATAGACGGGCATATAGGGCGGTGCGCCCGCTGCCACAGCTGAGCCAGAGCAGGCCATGCAGGCGCCCACAACTTGCAGCGGATAGAACAGCATAACGGCTCCAAACTGAATCAGCACCGAGTTGTACTCCCCACGCCTGGAGTTGAACAAGCCGAAGCGGGCGCAAATGGCAGTCAGGGTGCTGGTACAGAAAAGGACGCCCAGATCGCTGAGGAGGCGTGGCACAAAGCCCACATACAAGCCGAGCGGTCCAGCCTGTGCTAGGATCTCCTCGACGCTGCCCTTCAAGCTCGAGTAGATCACCTCGCGGCCCACGAACTGAGCCATCTGGCGCACCGCGATGACGTAGAACGGATGCGAGATGGCCAGTCCGGTTGTAACGATGAGTGCGTCGCGCAGCATATTCGAAAGATATCCGCGAAAGGGATGAGCTCGCATCTCCAGGTGCTTCCAGCCGAGCAAGTTGACCAGGCTCTCCGAGAACGTAGCGTAGACGGTGTTGCCCATGACGCGGGCAAAGAGGCCCCGATATAGGCCAGGGACTCCGTCAATGTGCCGGATGTAGCGCAAGTAGTGATTTGCGCTGGGCAGAAATAAGGTGGAACGCCCCAGCCAGTTGGTCGAGATGATGGCGGGCATCGGCTCGAAGCCCAGCTGCATCAATACCTTGGCATACTCATACGGGTGCATCACGGCGCCGAGGCCCATGCGCAGCATGAAGCGCCAGAACTCATTCGGCTTGGCCTGCACGACATCCAATGCCTGATTTTCCGGCCCCTCCTCCTCCTCGGCTTCGGCCTCATCAGCTCGAATGGCCACGGTCAGCCCGCCTCCATCGAGACGTGGTTCATATATATCAATATGGCGATCGGCCATCGACTGGGTCTTAGAATACTTCTGCATGGTCAATTTCGAATTTTTTTTCTGTTCTCTCGAAATATAAATTTTTATTTCATTTACTTGTTGAGCTAAGTTTACCGCCTGAATGAGCTGCCTAGGCTACATTTCTGAACTAAATTAGCAACAAATTTGGCATTTCTTGCCAGGCCTGTTTTCCGCTTGAAGTTGATGTATGAAAAACTTGAAGTTTCCCTTGGAATCGGCTTCACAGTGAACTCCTTTGTGCCACTTGTTGTCCTCACTCGCAGCGCGATTTGTAACATTAAAAGACAATTAGATATTTCATTTGGTTTTCTCTGTATTTGATCTACATTCATTTTACAAGCCTAAACAGCTAGTGGAACGCCCAAATAATTGGCTCTCTCTTCTCACTTCTCGCTTCTCCCTTATCGCTTCTCACTTTCCCACTGTTTTAGCGCCTCGCGTTTGTCCCCCCTTTGTCTCGTCCCACCATTTTGCCACTTATTTCCGAACATGAAATTTCAATTAGGCGTCTCTCTACTCTATGCTGTTTTTCTGGTCAATTAAATGCAACCATATTGCCAACAGTACACCCACACCCACACACATACACACACACACGCACACGCACAACCAATGCGTATGAATTGCAATTGTAGCTCTTTTTATTTACACGCTGCAGCAAATGAAACGTAAAAACCAGGGACAAAGCCTCTCAGAAAAAACTCGACTATGTATAGGGTATATACGAAGTCTGTGCATCAAATTGATTTTTTCTTTCGTTTTGTCTTGCAATCAACTCGGTTTGCAGTGTTGATAAATGCGAAGTGTTCTCATGCAGTGTGAAGAATTTAATTAGTTAATCAAACAATTTGTGAGTCAATCATTTAATCAGACATCAGTAATTCACTCAATCCGCTGATTGATGATGTCTGATTGACTGTCAAAATAATTGATTAACAAAATCAACAGTCAATCAATCACCTTACTAATCAATGGATAGTTGTCAATCAATCATTCAACAGTTAATCAATCACTTTGCTAATCAATGGATAGTTCTCAATCAATCAATCAGCAGTCAATCAATCACCTTGCTAATCAATGGATAGTTGTCAATCAATCATTCAACAGTTAATCAATTACTTTGCTAATCAATGGATAATTCTCAATCAATCAATCAGCAGTCAATCAATCACTTTACTAATCAACGGATAGCTGTCAATCAATCAATCAGCAGTCAATCAATCACCTTGCTCTTCAATGGATAGTTGTCAATCAATCAATCGATAGTCAGTCAGTCACCTTGCTAATCAATGGATAGTTATCAATCAATCAATCGGTGTCAGTCACTTCACTAAGCAATCCATTAACCAGCTATGTCTTTCGTTAGTTGGACAGTCAATCAAACACTTTGCCAACCAGTCAATCAATCAATCACTCAGTTATTTAATGATTACTCGGGTAATCTATCGCCTAATGCTACTCGATTAATCGATTCGTTTCTTAATTAGTTCGGCAAGCAATCAATCAATCTTTTCATCTGTTAAGCAATCAATCACACATCATCTCCATCCCATCTTCTCCAAGTTCCAAATTATGATCAGACCCAAGCGAGCTTCAATTACGTTCCCATATGAATGAATTCAATTTCGAATTTCATTTGAAAAGCTCGCAAATAGGTGTCACGTCTCCCCACCCCCCGTTGGCAGCCGCAATAATATTGGCCATTTTTGAAGCGTCTGGTCAAATGTGCAATCGAATGGGCTAAAGCCCCATTAAGTTGACAGAGGCTAGCCCAAAAGCGAATTGCCAAAAACAGCAGCAAATTGGAGGGGCTCCCGTCCCACTCAAAAAAAAAAAAAAAAAAAAAAAAAAAAAGTTTTGAGCCCGCAAAAGCAACTTATGCGACACGCACAGTTGATTAACAATGTTGCAATTTTTGAAGCGAACAGCGTTGCGGGACGCAAATCTCTGAAACAGCCAGCGGACGAGGAGGGGGAGTAGGAGGTAATCGTGGGCGGCGAGTAGGCGCAGAGAGAACAATGAAACAATACTTCTAGCCTGGCACGCCCCCTCGATGGGCATCATGCAGTTGCCGCACGATTATTGCACATCACTAATTAGTGATGTGAATTCCGCGCGCGCGCTTAAATTTTACGTTTCGGCACGAATAGATTGGCGAGTGGGGAACAGAGATAGATGGTGTGTGTGAGAGAGAGAGAGAGACTGAATGGTTGTGAGTTGGGAGTTTGCTAAAAGTTGGAGCCAGGCACGAGCCTGACGTTGACATTCCACTAACAGTAAAATTGTTTTCCAAATCCTAAGCTTGCATGTTAGCCACAGGCAACAGCAGTCGACAAAACAACACGACTAGCAGATACCCTGCTGCGCATGCTTTGCTGTTGATTTCGATATGTTCAAGAAAGTTTCAAGAATGGTTGTCAGATGTTTGTTAATGATATGATATGCCATGATATACATACATCCAGGAGATATACTCTATAAAACTGTCTTTGAGAAGGAGCTGATATCCGCATAGACAAGCTATAGATGATGGACATTCTATAGCTGGATCGTCTATGGGAATACATACATACCTGAGGTCATGCTTCCATCAATCTGTTGCAAACAGTTTCAGGAATACGTGAGACCCCGTTCTATGGTTATCAAAGCCAAGCGGCAACAACAACTGGCAATAGGCAACCACGAAACGGCAGCAACCGAATGAATGGCAATGAATGCGACACCAGACACTAGGCCTAAACATTTTCAACGCCATGCATCACCCACGTTCACATTCGCATTCGCATTCAGAATCACGTTCACGTTGACGTTCCCGTTCAGATCCCACGTTCATGTGTGGTAAATAGTGAACTGCATTCACATTCGTCGCCAGCTCACCCTGCTGCCTTCTCTTGCCACTATTTGTCAATTCGTTGTATACCCTAACTTGACGGATCTGTTAAAATGTTACCTAACGAAACAATCACAGTTGACAGTTAGTTTGACATGATGTTAAAATATATGCAGATAATCTAATCTAAGATGTTTAGGTTTCATTATATACATAAATGAGATTTGACAAGCACTTAAACTGATGGTTAATCATTTATGTTCAGCTTCTCCCTGACATTTGACTGTCTTTTGCTACTTTCATGATAATAATGAAAGATATTAGTGCTTGTTAAATTTAACATGCAGTCAGCATACTTGTGAAGAGAAACAAAAACTATAAGCCAACATTTAATCAGTTTGGCTTAAAGCTGACATCAACTTGTACTTCCTGTCAAATTTACCTTGACTTTAAACATAACACGATTTGCTAAGTAGGCGTCTTCTATAAAGTCAGGTTTGTTAACGTTCGCAGAGACTTGACAAGCACTTGTCTAATTGACTAAATCTTTTGCATTCTACGTCATAGGGCGCTTAAATAATGTCTAGGGTATCTGCTATTCGAGCACTTTTTTAAATCGACTCTTATTTGCTTAATTTTTCCTCGTTTTTTTGGTAAACTGCTGCTGTTCAGGGATTAAAACTGCCGGATGCAGTGCGGAAATCAAAATGCTTTGGCAACCAACAGCGACAGATCAGAGCAGGTCGAGATAGAGCTAAAGAGAGAACGAGTGAGAGAGAGAGACAGAGAGAGAGAGGGGTAATGGGTTTGGTATGGATGTGTGAGTGGTCCAAAACAAGGGGAACAAAAGGGTAACAGCAGTTTAAATGGCAACTAATCGCAAAATGCAGTCAAAATGAAAGCGAGAGACAGGAAGAGAAGACAGAGCGAGAGTGAAAGAGAGAGAGAGAGAGAGAGAGAGAGAGAGAGAGCGAGAGTGAGAGCTGCGATGCTGTAGGCGCACCCTGGGCCATGGTCAGGTGGAGGTGTTTGTATAATGAATGAGCTAACGCGAAAGCAGCAGCAGCAGCAGCAGCAGCAACAGCAGCCACAGCAACAACAGCAACAACAACAACAGCAAAAACAACAACAACAACAACAACAGCAACAACAACAACAGCAACAACAACAACAGCAACAACAACAACAGCAGCAGCAGCAATAACAACCAAACCCATCAGATGTGGCATTTTTTGGAAATTGGAGGCGAATGGAGGCCTAGGCTGGTACACTGGCCCACGCCAGCCAACCTCAAATCCCAAAACTCCATCGGAGTCCTGGCCCACGCCGCTGCACGCACAAGACAATGAAATCAAACGACAAACGCAAATGTGATCAATTACAGTTTGTGAATTTCAACGGCAAATGGAAAAGGCGATGCACACTGTGGAGCAAAGCAGGAGAACAAATGTAGAATATCGAAAATAGCGATATCAATGGATATCGATTAATCGTCACACAATGTTATACAGAGCATAACTTGTCATAATATATTTTTCTTAATAAAGATGAAACTTTGCTCTTGCTTTAGCTTCAGCGCTGAGCACCTGGATCAATCTCTATTATGAGAATATTATTCACGTTCTCCGTTTTCCCATTTTTTGCCACTGTGCGGCAGAGCAATTGGAATTGTTGTGCATTTGCGGCTAGGCTGGGCACACTCCGTAAATTGCCAATGTGGCCGTGCGGCGCTTTGCTAAAGGGGAGCAAGGCAGGCAAGGCAGGCAAGGCAAGGCAAGGCAACGCAAATCGAGGGCGTGGAATTGCGACTCGGTGGCATTACGTAATGTGAGGTTAGATTCGATTCGATGCGATTTGGTTGGATGTGCTTTAAAAAGACGCCACTCCAAATGGAGCTTATGCAAATGCAAAACAACAATAATAACAACAACAACGGCAACAACTGCTGACAACTTGACTCTCAAAATTATGGCCACAAATTCCGGAGTCTCAGCCAGCCAGACTAACAATTGCCATTGCCATTTGACATTCGGCATTTGGCATTTGGCATTTGCCATTTGGTATCTGGTATATTGTGGGCTGGGCATTCTGACATTGACCGGCAACAAGTCATTATTGTAATTATGTTAATACCTGACGCACATCACATCATATCACATCTTTGTCCATCTCGCTTACACACTCGCTGTTCTCTCATTCCCGCCTGTTTGTCGACGTGACCAGCGCCTGCACTCCAGCCTCCACCTCCATTCTCCGGAACTAAGTCAATTTGCGCATAATTTGTTTACGACCTTTACGCACACACGGCCAGACATTCGCACATTCAGGTGGGACGAGTGTGGCTTGTTGTATTTTACTATTACACCCTAGATGGAGTAATCGTTGAATGAAGAGATTGAATATATGATATATATCTGTTATTCTTACTATTTCTTTCCTTGTCTGTTGGCTCATCGACGCTATGCCTTTCTATCTCTATGTACCTTAGCCTCAATCTCTATCTCTCGCTCATTTTCTCTCTCTCTACATATTTCTACCCCTTGTATGTCTGCCTTTCTGTGTTTCTCCCTCTCTCTTTCTCTATGCCTCTGCCTCTCTTGTTCTCTCTCTCTCACTCTGTCCGCTTATATACCCCCCTCTTTCACATTTCTCTCTCTCTCTCACTCACTCTCTCTCTCTCTCACTCTCTGTCTCTATCTGCTATTCTGCTTATCTACCACTCTGTCTATCTATTTCTTTGTCCCTGTCTCCTCTATCTCTGTCTATGCCCTATATGTGTGCATTTTCAGCACTCTGTCTCTCTTTCTGTATCTCTTTCTTTCTCTCTCACAATTTCTCTCTTTCTAACTATTGTATATGAAGTTATAAGTGAAGTGAGGCTAAAAGATATTACCGAATATTCATAATTGGAGGCACTAATATATATGGGGGATTCTCCCAATTGGCAAGCAACAGTATCGAATTAGCTCTTGCCTTAGATTCACTTTCTCGAATCTCAAATCTTTTTCATAAATGTCACACAGCATCTAAAACGAATAAAAAAAAAAAAAAAAAAAAAAAAAAAAAAAAAAAAAAAAAAAAACAAAAAAAAGCAAATATACAAGAAAAAAAAAATTCGAAAAAAATCCAAACACGTAGGAAAGTACACACACGTTTAAGTATAGAAAATTCGGTACACTTGTACGTTAATGTTTGAGAAAAGTTGTAAAATTCTCTGGATCGATTCGAGGCACAGACTCCCAGGCAGAAGGGGGGCGAGACGGAGTGGGAGCAAATGGCCAAGCATTTTGCAAAGATCCTTGTTTATGGCGCCCAATCGGTGGGTCGCGCCTTCGTGAAGGCGGTGCGTCAGGAAATCGACGCATCGCGAGCGGCGGCACAACAGCATCGGGCAAATAGATTGAGTAAGGCGAAGGGCCACGATCTGGCTGTGAAGGGTATGACCCTGCACGAGGCGCAGCAGATACTCAATGTCAAGGATCTCAGCAATCTGGCCGAGATCCGTGCCAATTATGAGCATCTGTTCCGGGCCAACGAGAAGGCAGCTGGCGGCTCCCTTTACATCCAATCGAAGGTGTTTCGCGCCAAGGAGCGTATCGATCGTGAGCTGCAGAGCAGATTAGAGACGGCCATCAATCAAACCCAAAGCGCAACTCCATCATCGCCAACACCACCACCACCGTCATCACCGTCACCACCTCCACCAGCAACGTCACCAGCCGCAGCAGCAGCTGCAACAGCAACAGCAACAACAGCAGAAAGAGCAACAGCAACAAAAGCCAATCGAGCCTAAAGCAAATTCTGTGTAATTCGAACAGCATTTCGTTTCTTCTTCTTCATTTGCTTAATGACCAGCAAAAAAAATTAAATTTGGGTTTATTTAAATAAATAATACGATTCATAAACAGTGCATTAAAGTCAATAGAAATTGAAATCAGTTGACACCAAGTCTAAAGCAATTGATCTCTGCCGGAGATCTACGTAATTGCATCTAAATGAAATATTTATGGTTTTTGCATTATCTACTCCATAGTAGTTTCCCAACTTATCACATCTAGCATTTGTGATATGTTGTGAAATATAGCAATAGCGTGAAGTAATTGTCTCTCTTGTCAAAATAGCGTCCTATTGTTAGAGTTGTGTTGCAGTTATTACTCAAGTTGGCAGCACGATTCTCGGTATACTCAAAGTGGCACTCCGCGTGAGTGCGAGTGAGACGCATATATGTAGCTGATGAGCTTAGTACCGGGTTTTGCTGAAAGAGAATGAGATGGCAGCTAGGCTTCTTGGCGAATAGCTTATGTGTATGTGTGCGTGTGTGTGTGGGTTGGTTGCTTGAGGGCAATAGAAAAGAAACTTCGAAAAAAAAAATGGAGAGAGCAGTTCCCTTGAAGAAAGTCCAGTAACACTATAAATATGGAAAGTGAAATGATGAGAAAAGCTCCGAAATATATATAAACGAATATAATAGAAATTAGTGCTTATAGCAAATCCAAGTAGACTGCAAAATATTCACGAAATCGTAGTAGGCTTTGGTTGAACTGAAGTTAAGGCTATATAAGTATGCAAGACTCTATAAATATACATATTTATATGAAATCCAAGTAGGCTACAAAATGTACACGAAATCGTAGTAGGCTTTGCTTGCACAAAAGTTGAGGCACCTCCGGAGCATTCCGAATATTCTCAGTTCAGTATGAGCTCTGGCATGAGCTAGAGCTCCTATTTTTTCTTCCAATTTTTTTTTTTTGTGAAAATGTGAAATTTACAAATATATAAAAATTTAAAATATACAGTTTACCAAAATTAAATGTATATTCGGTTGAAATTCATGTTTCGGAGAAAAAATCAAAAAATGTGTTTATAACAATTTCGTTTCGTATATTTTTTTTTGTCCGTGGGAAAATGAAAATTTTTTTGTAGTGCAATCAGAAGTGTATCAAAAGAGTAATAAAACGTGTACAATAACTATAACAAGAACCATAACAAGAGCAAGTAAAAAAAAAAAAAAAATGTTAACAATAATAACAGAACAATAAAGACAATACACGGATCACTTATAATAAGTTACAATTACAATTATTACTGTTACAATATATTGGCAAGAACATCTACACTGTAAGCATTTTGATTTGATTGATTTCCAAATTCCATTTTATAATACTTTCCGTTCCGTAGTTTACACACGAAACAAATACATAAGTCTCAGCCCCGAGAACTGGCGACTCGCATAGTATATTGCGTCTTTGCTGATATCTCTTTGATGTGATGGTACCACAGATCCAAGGGGTAAGTCGAAAAGAAACATACATACGTATATCAACATTAAAATCGGATCTGTCATTTATGTATAGAGAGTTAAACGTAGAGAATGGACGTAACGTAGGGAATAGACGTAACGTAGAGAATAGACGTAACGCAGGGAATGGACATAACGTAGGAAATGGACGTAACGTAGGAAATGGACGTAACGTAGAGAATGGACGTAACGTAGAGAATAGACGTAACGTAGAGAGATGGTCGTAACTTTGAACGTAGCACATAATATGGAGGGATAGACGTAACGTAGAGAATGGACGTAACGTAGAGAATAGACGTAACGTAGAGAGATGGTCGTAACTTTGAACGTTGCACATAATATGGAGGGATAGACGTAACGTAGAGAATGGACGTAACGTAGAGAGGTGGACGTAACTTTGAGGGATGGGCGTACCTTGAGTGTTGCACATAATATGGAGAGATAGACGTAACGTAGAGAATGGACGTAACGTACGGAATGGACGTAACGTTGAACGTTGCACATAATATGGAGAGATAGACGTAACGTAGAGAATGGACGTAACGTACGGAATGGACGTAACGTACAGAATGGACGGTTCGTAGAGAATGGACGTAAAGTAGAGAATAAACGTAACGCAGGGAATGGACGTAACGTAGAGAATAGACGTAACGTAGAGAATGGACGTAACGTAGAGAGATGGTCGTAACTTTGAACGTTGCACATAATATGGAGGGATAGACGTAACGTAGAGAATGGACGTAACGTAGAGAGATGGTCGTAACTTTGAACGTTGCACATAATATGGAGAGATAGACGTAACGTAGAGAATGGACGTAACGTACGGAATGGACGTAACGTACAGAATGGACGGTTCGTAGAGAATGGACGTAAAGTAGAGAATAAACGTAACGCAGGGAATGGACGTAACGTAGAGAATGGACGTATGAGATGGACGTAACGTTGAGCGTTGACCACATAATATGGAGGGATAGACGAGTCGATAGACGAGGGATAGTCGAGAATGACCGTAACGTACAGAAATGGACTTAACGTAGAGAGGTGGACGTAACTTTGAGGGATGGACGTACCTTGAGTGTTGCACATAATATGGAGAGATGGACGTAACGTAGAGGTGAACGTAACATAGACAGATGGACGTAATGTAGAGAGGTGGGCATAGAAGGTTGAGTAGCACCGAATGAGCTTACTTTAGGTTATTACAAGTACCATGAGAGTGGCCACTCATAAATATTTGTGCATCAGTTTGTCCGCCAGTGTCATTCCTTTAGAACTTAGTGTCAATGTAGGATATGATCCAGATTAGTAATGACGTGAGTGATTCTAAAAATATTTGATTAATTTTGCCCATCCTATTTACAGTTTGTTGGATTAGTCGCATTCAAATAATCATAAAAATAAAATACCTAAAAGAATATTAATAAGAACAGCAAAAACATTAAGACCCACACCGATATGCGTTTTATGACACTAATACAATTCAACTCAATATTAGGCAACATGCAACAACATACAAACCGTAGGACAGATTGAGTAAGTACGAATCTATACAATAGATTTTATATATCAAATATTACATTTCTATAAACATTCCTCTTTTTCAGATATTAGGAAACTGGTACTGTTAAGTCAAAATGTAACAATAACATTCAATTCAATATAATTTATACTTTGTAGTAGTAAGTATTACTAAAGCTAGCACATGTTTCCAATTTCATGATTTCGTTTTCAAATTCGTTCCTAAATTCATTTTCTTAAAGATATAAAAATCTTCATTCCTCAAGACAGTTAAAGACGCAATCAAGGGGTTCGCCACTAAGGGGGTAAGCTATAGAGCCACATATATGTATACCGAAATATGCCTCACATAATATATTCTCTGTCTATATATTCCTCAGCTGTAGACAGTTTCGCGCACGGAATCCAGTTGAACCAAATGAAGGGTTGCGCGTCTGTGCAGAATGCCTGAGTTTCAGCTGTTTCTAGTTTCAAATAATTGTGTAACTATGAATAAATCCGTGACGTCTTGAATATCGATGTGTTGTATATATTAATCGATTAGCTTTGATTAGGCATTAAAAATGAAATAATCCATTACCAAGTCTAGGCATTTGTGATCCAGACTCTAAGCCAAGTCGTGCTCCTGACAGCCAAATCGATAAGTGTAGTTTCAAATTGACGCTTTAGCTTCATTGCAGGGTATTTTGCTATTGAGCATGCTTTAATTAGCTGTGAAATCGTTTGTACCCAAGTCGAATCAAAGCTAAGTTTCAACGCATATTACGCATACGCCGCATGGGCAACATTAACTTCCGCTGTGGGCAGCCGCAATGTCGCTTTAAATATTTTACGATAAATCAAATTAATCAGATTTAATGCCACACACACGCACACACACGTACGTACGGAGGTACACGGCGCAAGGTGTTAATCGACGTCATTTTGATATAAAAGCAAGCGATGAGAATGATATTGTATATTTTATGACCGCATATGCGATGCGTAATTAACAGCAGCAACAGCAACAACAACAACAACAGCAGTTGTCAGCCAGGTTAATGAGCCATCATTGATTATGCATATGAGTATATGTGTGCGTGTGTGTGTGCGTGTGTGTGTGTGTGTGTATAAAGAGTTTCATTTGCTTTTCGCACATCAAATTAAATTGTTACATATGCTAATGAAATCAACCAAAATTATGAGCAATTATGAATAGCTTAATAGGATTTGGCCACAAGCCACACGCACACACATGCGCGCACTCACACACGCACACGGACTCACACACACAAGCACACTGTAGTGTATCTGTGTGCCTTAAAGCCAAAGTCTTTTGTTTAAAGCGCAAAGCTGAGCTAAGGCTGCCAGTCTATCTGTCAGGCAAATAGGCTGTCGGGCTGAAGGGGCCGGTGGGCGGCACGTAGCCAGGTAGGCAGGCAGACAAAAAACGCAGCCAGGTGTAAATTACAAACTTGCAAGATTTTTGGCCTGGCATTTCCTGCACAACACTTCACAGCCGCTCCACTCCCCCAGTTCTCGACAGCTTCCTTTTCGTGTTGTCGTTGTTTCATAACTGTTCATAACTGTAGGCGTGGCACTAACTGGCTACGTCTTGTTCTTACTTTACGTAATGCCAACAATTACGCAGCTGAATATTTTATGAGCCAAGCAGATTAATATGAATATTTTATTATCATTTTAGATTCCGTATTTCTTTCTTGGGGCTGCTTTCTCTTACTAACTGCCTCGCAGCCCCTCATCGGCCACGCCTCCCATGCTGGCTTAGCCATTGGCTGGCTGACTGGCTGGCCGGCTGGCTGACTTGGCTGGGTAGCCAAGCCAAAAACTCAAGGCGAAAGCATGTCCAAAAATATGCTTTATATGCCTTTGCAGTGTTGAGTGTTGCGTTTGCTTTTTTCCTTTCCCTGTGCCCTAATAACAGGCCCCTTTCGCGTTGAGCCTAGTCGCAGTGACATTCAGTTTGAAAACAGTCTGGCGGGATCGGCTAAATCAGTAGACCATGATCTATCTGTATGTGGGGATAGGGATATTGTTGGATATGGTACGGATACGGATATGGATATGGATAGGGATATGGATATGGATATGGATATAGATATGGATATGGATATGGATATGGATATGGATATGGATAT